GGATGAGCTCATGAGGGTCATTTCAGGACGCCGGTTCGTCACATTAATGACAGATTTGAGTCACTGACCTAAACGAGTGTAAACCATCCTGTCAGAGATCGGATCTGAGCAAAAAATCGGATTTGAGCAACGAGGCTTGTAATGTGAACGTAGCTCTAAGGCTGTTTGTCTCTGTGATGCGTATATTTCAGAGGAAATGCAGATAAACATAAATACAGTAATTACATAGGTTAAAAAAGCAGTTGATGTCTTGTGAGCTGGTTTGCTTCCAGATTTCTCCTCCAGCATCACGTATATTAATTAAATTCCATCAGCAGCTCCTGATTTAACATAATGAAGTATTGATTAGGTGAAGCAGGTGTTTCGATTATGACATTACAGGTTCTTTTTTGTCTGTTCCACTTTGTTAAAAACATTGTGTATCGTGAAAATGTCTTCAAGAATCGTGATATATTTCAGCCAAATCGCCCACCTCTACTCCCAGCTCACATTTTGGAATCTACTGACTGTAGCTGAACGATTAACGACTGTCAGCCTGCATAATTGTGATAATCTCAGTCGCGACGAGGCGATCGTGTAGTAATTGTGACAAGTCTGCCTTTAAACTAAAGCTGTATATGAGTTTGTAAATATGTGGCGGCCTTGGAGTGTTTAAAATCTAATTTACTAATCAGATTATTCTCTTCAGCAGACCTTCTGGTTCTCAATGGAGAGGCCAGTCCTGGACATTGTGTGTGTTATATTTGTATGGCTTGCAGTCATGTGACTGCCATCTGATACAGATGCATGCAGGGGCACCGTGCGTTACCCCACAGCTACCATCCTCCACCCGGCGTACTGCAGCGTTAAAGGGGAACTCCACCATTTTTTCTGAATTCCTCCATAATTCAGTGTGTGAGATGTAATCAGAGAGATTCAGAGCGGTTTGGTGTGAAACGGTTCAGATGTCTTTACAGTGGTGGTGATAGGAACCAGGGGTCGCCATGACTACAACACAAATATAGACATTTTATTTACTATCCAGAACCACCAGTGAACCTACACGAGTCTTCTGAGTTTATATGAATGTTGATGATGACGTTTTATACGGGGGCTGTTTTGCCTCTGCATGTATCCCTCCACCATGAATGGAGTTTAAGGCCAAAATCTAAATCTTAAAGTACAGCGATCCTTATCTGAGCCACGCATCCGGTCCCCACCGCTTCCGACAGGGAATAGCTTGTTTTCTCCTTTTGTTTTCCAGTTAAACAGTTTTACAGCAGGTTTAAAGCTTAACAGCACAAACAGCAGATCCGTTTTTTATGGCTGTAAAATCAGAGAACATCTCTGCGCAGGGTTAGTGCAGCGCAGGGGCTGCTCTGAAACTACCACACCAACAACATCAGCTCATTTCAATATGTTGTTAATTTAAATATGGTTTAGAACACTATAGAACAGGGGTTCTCAACCTTTTTCACCCCAATAACTACAAAGCATAGTGGCCCACAGAAAAAACTAAAATCAACTTTTTAAATGCATTTTTTTTGCTGACACTGAAATCCTGAGAATTTGTGCCTGAAAAGATCAGCCTGGTTCGTTCACAGAAACCAAAGTTTGCAGTTATGTTAAACATAACAAAGTTTAAAAAAACATGGTTGTGGTGATGTTTAAAAAAGGGGCATTAGAAATGTATGAGATAGATGTGGACTGTGATTTGGAGCTGCACTCCACTGTATTTTCACTGGAAATACTCCACTGGCTTTAACACATGTAATCTGAGATTTCTCTTCAGTTTTGAGGGTTTTTGTGATTCATTTGAAGTGGCCAGCCCTCACTCCTCTCGCTGGGCCTTTGGATTAGCGTCTGGGCTCGGTGCATCTCTAATCTTAAACTCGGCTAAAGGAGTTAAAGCGTATGCAGGTCCATGTTGGCCACAGCGAAGTGTATTAGCGTGTAGAATCAGAGCTTTCTGAGAGCGGCTGTGTTTCCTATCACTGTGTAAAAGATGCATGAGGCTCCTTTAGTCCTGGATACACAGGTTCAGCATTAACAACTGCCTGAATTCCCGAGGGAAACGTGAAATATTCATTTGGGACGACAGCGTTTAAGATCGTTCGCCTGGTTCTGCGACCGTTCGTACTTTTCATCGTGACGTACTTAATGTTGCCTTTATTTGCTTTATTTGCAAACAGCTCTTCAATGTGGGGATGAATGGTCTAATCCAGTGGAGTGTGGAGTTAAATCTAGCCAATTAAGTTTGTGTGGCGTTAAATCTAGCCAATCACGTTGTTTGTAGCGTGAGGCATTATTTAAAGTGCTGGCGAAGCTGGAGAATCGAAAACTTTAGTCACTTGCGGGAAAATTCGTTTCTGTGGGTCAGTTTTACCTTAAGAAGGCAGACAAATCTGAATTTTTCCCACTGCAATAATAAAACAAATTATGGTGAAAATGTAACTTCTGCTTTGTTATAACATGTAAAATGAGAGTGAATATATGGGTCAAGGACAAATAAGGTTTACAAAATAACAATTTAAAAAAGGACGTGATGTGCATTTTATTTCAGCACGTATATTTGCAATTATATCTCTTTGCATTTTCTATTTTAAATATAGTGAGTGTTATCAAATCTTTTAATTTTCTGTTTTTAGTTATTAAACTGTGCTGGTCTGGTTGCTCCATCTGACTGACTGGTTGCGCCGCCTGACTTTTCAGACTAATTTCAGATTAAACAGGCATCTACTTAGACGCCCATAGAAACCTTTGTCCTTCAACTTTTTGTGCTTAAATTTTTTCACATAAATGAACGTTATTATAACAATTACACATTTTCATGGTTCTCCATGACAAGACCAGACCTCCTGACATGGTAGACTTACCGTTCTAACCACGACTCAAACAGTTTTACTAAGTGTGTTACCTTCGCATTGAACTATGAAGGTCACTAAGGGTCTTCTTTATGTTCGCTTTGTGATGCTCTTTGTTTTATAAATCTGTTAAGGCTTTAAAAGCTGTGTAGTGCACGTCCAGCCTAAGTTAGGGAAAAAGTGCGTGTTGAATTTGTGCTGTGATTGTTTTCATTCAGAGCAATTCAGATCAGTGAGAGCTTTTTATTATTGACTGAGTTTATTCAGGCAACAAAACAAATGCAACTGACTTCATATCCCTGCCCGGTCATTAATGCAGTGTGTCGATCTCTCGTCATTACTTTCAGTCCAGTTTCATTGATAGACCTGCTTATCTGATGATGTCTACGTGTCCCGACTGTAATCAGATTAAATATTGCCCTGTAGGTTAATGTGTCAGTGACTTCTACTCAACCCACACCCATCCGTCAGTCTACAGTGCAGGTGTGGCATCTCCTTCCTCGTCCTCGTCCTCATCCGGCTCAGTCCCATTCAAAACGAAAGTGAATCCTAAACGCCACCTTTGTGTGCTGAGAACTAAAATACAGCCTACAGTACTGACAGTATTCTGATGACGTCACAGTCGCGCTGCCACCATTTAGGCAGCAACTTCAGGTTCACTCAGCAGTGCTGTGTCTGTAATGAGATAAAATCATAACTGTCTTTAAAATACTTTTTTAATTCTTATTTTTAAGCATAGTAACTGATATATTTGACTTGATTTTATTTGATTTGTTGCTGTAGTGATAACCAACGAAAGCTGAAATCTAAACGGCTGAGATTTCCCACTGTGTTACTAGCGCCTCGTCCCAAACCGCATACTAGCTCACTAAATAGTGTGTAAAAATAGTGCACATCCCATTAGAAGTGCACTCATTAGTGCAGTAGGTGAAGTACAGAAGTGTGTGGTTTGGGACGCGGCGTTAGATCAGACAGTGAGATGATCAGTCGGTGTGTTCTGCATTGTTTGTACGTTGCATTATCTGCATTTAAGTGCATACTGGTATAACGATAATGACAAAACTAAGAATTTTAACGCAGTATACCGGATAAACCGATATATCGCACACTGATAGATTAGTGTTCAGCAGATTTGGAGATTTGAGGGTTTGAAACAAAAGTAATGGTGTTTTTCTGCACATACACTCTTAAAAGATGATGGTTCTTCAAGGGTTCTTATAAAGAACCATGAACACTCAAAGAACCCTGCACATGATTAGATAGTTCTTTGCATGATGGAAGGCTTCAGATTGATGTGGATGATTCTATATAGCACCAAAAAGGGTTCTTCTATTGTGATGATGTCAAGCTTGTAGCAACAGAGGAACCCTTTTTGGAGTCAAATTGAACGCTTTTCAAAAAGGTGCTGTATAGAACCATACACAGCACATTCTCCACTAATCCGAAGAACCCTTTCATGATGTAAAGAACCTTTAAATCATGCAGATGGTTCTTTGCACTGCCAGAAATGATATCAAAACATCTTAAATGTAGTTAAAATATATATTTCTCATTATGAAACTGTTGTAAGAATATTATAAGATTATTTAACTTATTTCTAGACATTTTCACTTGTTTTAAGTAATTTTATCTTGTGTCTTATTCCATTTGCAGATCATTTTACTTTTATAAGCATTATTTTTTGAAATAACAAATTATCTGCATTATTTCTCAAAACAAGTAATGATCTGCCACTTTCACTACATATAATAACTGAAAACAAGTAAAATATATAGAAACAGGTGGAATAATCTTGTAATATTCTTACAACAGACTCATAGTGAGAAATATTAGATATATTAACTACATGTGAGATAATTTACTTATTAAGATATCAGTTTTTGCAGTTTGAGTGTTCATGGTTGTATATAGAACCATTTTCTTTACTAAAGAACCCTCGAAGAACCGTCTTTCATAAGATTGTATACGTTTTGTAGTCATATTAACAGACGGAAAAGCGAGCTGTGGTTTAAGAAGAACACGCTGTTTTTCAGTGTTAAAAGCTGTCGGTTCCGCTGTGACGCTGTGGAACCTGCCTGCTGATCTCTACCCTGTAATTTGTGCACACTGTACACATAATTTACTCTGTGTGTGAATGTGGTCTGTTGTGTCTTGCAGGTCACACATTATAAACAGTACCCCCCCAACACCAGTAAAGTGTACTCCTACTTCGAGTGTCGCGAGAAGAAGACGGACCCCACCAAGACCCGCAAAGTCAAATATGAGAAGACTGTGTTCTACGGCCTGCAGTACATCCTTCACAAATATTTAAAAGGTATGATCAGAGTGATTGATCTGTTGGTAGAGCTGGACAATGTGACAATATTTGTCGTTATCGTGAACAACATGTGTAGGAAATTTGACCTGCCTAAAACTTCCTTGATGGGCTGGTTATTGATCACTCTGTCGTATATAGACATGGTAGTACTGTAAAGTGTAAAGGTAATACTTTACACTGAGTATCTGTTGTAAAATATAATTTTGATTTATTTATTTAAGTATTTATTTACTCATTCTTTCTTCTTAGTGTTTTTTCTTTAAGTCTGTGCTCATGTATTTTCTGTTTTCTATTCTATTTCATATATTCTGTCTATAAAAAGCAATAATGAATAAACAGTTTTCAGTTTATTCATTATGGTTTTTATTGTCTTTTGTTTTGTATTAACCTCAAAATTTCAATAAAAATATTAGTCGGAAAAAGTCACAGTGTGCTGTACTGAGCATATTGTGAAAATCATTAGTGCTTAAAAACACCTCTCAACTGGTGAATTTTATTATAAAGATGTGTTGTTTATTCGGATTTAATGCAGCACAGTGTGTGAAATGTTGAATATAGATCACTGGATGTCGTAGTATTTTTAAAATACGGCTCTACTTTGTCTGTTCTAAATGATCAGATATCAGTAAAAACAAGAAAAGTGCATTTCCTGAAGGAAACGCAGAATGAGGGATGGAAAAATACGACAAACGGATGAGTGCGGGTCAGAACAACAGTGAATTTGTGCTTGGGGGCCTGCCCTGAGATAGTGTATGCGAAACGGTGTCTTTAGGCCAAGCAGAAGTACCTTAGATTGGCATGCAATTTTTCACCCCATTCATTCTCTATGGGAAAAAATTCAGCAAAATTCCATTGCTACATGGAATCCGTGCATCCGATCAAAAAGCTGTATAAAAGCACGCATCAAACAATCAGACCGGACAATCTGGAATTAGAACGGTGTTGATCTCTCGAAAACTGCGGGATGAGTTACACAGCAAAAATAAAAAAAAATAAGAATAATAAAAGAGAAAAAGAAAAAGAAGAATATAAATCGGATAACAATATAGTTGCGCATTGCAAAGCCATTATTAAACCATAATAAATATCGTGACGTGTTGTATATCAGTGAAAACTTCCTGAAGTATTGTGATATTTCATTTTACCCACCTCCCCAAAAATGTAGGACACATATTAGGGCATAAAGTTCGTAGTGTGGAATTAGTGATTTCACAGTTGGTTCATTAAACTGCATTTATATCACCTTCTCAATTAAGTGGCAATGGCTAATTAGCAAGAGAATACATGTTTTAAAGTCTCTTATAGTCTCTCTTACAGAAATAAGACTGATGAACATGGCCAATTATATTTTTGCCACAAAGTGTTTTGGTTCTTTTATTTGTTCTTTTTTTCTGTTGTTTGGCCTTTTAAAGAACTCTGGTTACCTGTGTAATCATCAAAATAATCACTGTATATCACTCTAAATATCAGTCTGAGTGACGACTCCTGCCCTCATTTGAAATATCCTGAGTATCTGACCATGCTCGCACAGAAAATGGCCTTTTTTGCTATGGAGTCAGTTATAAAAGTTAAGGAATCTGATTTGAAAAGTGTTGAGAAATTGTAAGAGAAACTGTCTCCTTATTGTCCACCACCATCGCCGCAGTGCTTTATTTAGCGGGTTTTGATTAACATTAAAACACAAAGGTAACCAGAGGGACGGAGGAGATCGAGTCTGCAGTGTCCGAGATTTTTAGAGAGAAAAAAAAATCAAAATGTCAAAAATGTGAGTTGAGCTGCTGTTACTGATGTAAAAAAGGTCAAACAGAGCTAAATTGTGATAAACTGTGAGTAGTGAATACTGTGAGAGCGCCCCCTGCTGTTTATCAGAGTGTCGCCGCCCCCCAGTTTCAGTCTCCGTTTCCCAAACGCTTTAGCCGAGCGCGCTAACGTTACTCCTCCTAATAAACAGACACACGTTCAGCTCCGTCTCCTCATTATTCACCACCATCACTGTAATATTTCATCATCAACATTAACACACGAAGGTGATCAGAGGGGCGGTGGAGATCGAGTCTGCAGCGTCTGAGATCTTTAAAACGCAGAGTTAGAAAAGAAAATCATCTCACAGTGAAAGCAGCGTTTTACAGTAGAAATAAATGGAGCTCATTATGCTGGTAGTGAACTATGCTGCTGACACAGCTGCCTAAAAACCATAGAAACGGACCTTAAACAGAAGTGAGGACCCTGTTGGGGTTCATCCTAAAGTTAGGACAGGATTTAGGAGGTTCAGTCTAGTTAGGATGTTTGTGTGATGCTGTTTTCTTATCTGGAGTTCATGATGAGATTATGAAGTTAGGAACTGTTATTCTGGAATAGATACTGTCCTAAAATCAGTCCGTACTGACGTCGTCATGGAGAGGGAACAGATATCAGAGTTAGGATGGTTCTGTATTGTAAGGTGAACAGTGGTATCAGTGCATTCCTGCTGCAAACCTGTTTGATTTTCTTTTCTCTCTGCACTGTAACTTCAGTATTTCTGCTAGGCTGTCGTTTCCTTACTCTGTAATGGATTCCGTGGCTCAGAGTGGGGCGGCGGGGGCTGTTTTGAAGTGTTAAAGGATGTGCAGGAAGACAATAGAACGTCTGCTGTGCAAACACAAAGGACCGTGTGGCCTGTGATGTGTGTGGGGAACCAGTTCTTGTGCATGAGGAGCACACGCCCCGTCCTGGCCTCAGTTATGAGGACGCTGTGCCTTTAAGATGCGCCACTGCATCTGTATGTGCATACGCCAACTTTCAGGGACAAAGCTGCCCTGTGACCCTAACCCTAACCCTGTGAGAGTCTCTTAATGTAATAACTGCAGGATGCAGGACTAGAGGTCTGCACTCGCATGGATTCCCATTGGACCCACCACAGTATCTTGTGGCGCGGAACTAAGGCCCAGTCCCGTTTCTTATCTTTACCCCTACCCCTTGTTTTTGATTGTCTACTTGCTCCTTGGAACTGAGTTACAGGGTAGTGGTTGAAATCTTCCTCTGAAATGGGACCCTCAAATAAAAAGAGCATCACTTCATTAACAGCTACCAGCGCTGCTCTGTAGGCGACCCTGCCAGTCTGCAGTGACAGCAGAGGAGGGTAAAGTTCAGCTCCTCACTGCTGGGCTTTAGTTACATTTAGGGCATCATATGATCTTCAAAGAGGGGGGCAATTATTTATTATCACCCCCCCTAATTCTTCAGTGATATGAAGCTGAAGTCAGATATTCTCCAGATTCTTGTTCTAATTTTCCCGTTCCACCTTAAATGGAGCAGCAGTTTTAACTCCTGAGGATCCAGAATGTAACTGCTGCACCATTTAAGGTGGAACAGGAAATTTAGCTATCGAGACGTCAGCACTACTAGCTTTTTTATGCTTGTTATGTAGAAAACGACCAAAATACACTGAAACGACATTAAACTAAGATAATATGATGGTTATCATAATTACAGAGAAAATTCTCACATTTCTGGGTTTCTTTGGTCTTTTGCACTGCCTTCTTTCTCATAACTCTCTGTTTGGAGTCTCTGAAAAACCTCCGTTTGGAGGGTCATGTAGCCCCAACACTTCGCCCCACCCCTCTATCTCAACAAGAATCGGGACCCCCTACCCCTAGACGTGAACGCGCAAAATGGAGGTGTAGGTTTGAGTGGTAGCGGTGAGGAGAAATGGGATTGGACCTACTTTTCAGAGTTGTGCACTGGAGCGGGGGGGGGGGGGTGATGCATGGCTAAATAAAGTAAAACGATCACAAAAACATATATAAACAATATGAAATGATAACAGTAAAAGAGTTCAAATGAATGAAGTCGTTCTAAAGAGCTGAGAAGCAGCCGATCACATGAACAACACATAGATTCTCGTAGCTCACAGAGACGGCGGAGCCCTCAGTCCGACGGCCACAGCTGCCCAGCAGAACACCAAAAATAACCGCTCTGTGGTTTAATCCCTGCTCTGTGTTTAAATGGTGAATAAATGGCGTTTGGTGAAGTTACTCACAGTAGCCATGTTTACATGCAGCCTAATAATCCGTTAATGATCCGACTAATAGCTCAGTCGGAATAGAATAGGTGTAAACACCTCATTCAGAATAGACTAGTCAGATTGAGGCCATTCAGAATACAATTCCTATCCGATTGATCGAGGTGGGTAATCCTGTAAATAATCCGTTAAATCAAAAGTGATTAAAACACAAGCACTACTCACTGCTGCTCATCTCATTCTGACTGGACTCACGTGATGTTCGCTGTCACAGTAACGTTCACTCTAAGTGGTTCTCCAGGCATGCGCATAATTTTGGATCTGATTTCTTGCAGTGAGCATGTAAACGGAAATTTTTCCATCAGATTGTTGAGTAAAGTGAGAATAAACACCTCTGTCTTAATCTGTAATCGAGATGTATTCAATCGGATTGGCAAAAATATTTGCATGTAAACAGAGAAACTTAGCCTGATGACCATGACTGACCTGTTAGTTCAGCAGAGAATGATGTGTTTGTGAATAGACTGTGTCAGATACTGGATGTCAGTTCATCTTGATCAGGCTGCACGGGCGGGAGTGGGACAAACGAGTCTGATTTTCTGTGGGAGCGGGACTGAAAAAACAGTCCTGCATAGACCTCTAATGCAGATCCGCTCACCGTCCCTCACTCCACCGCCGTCCCTCCCTTTCACGTCACCTTTATCATATTTAGTGGTCTGAATAATGAGCGATTGACTGTCCTCTCTGTCCTTTTTCCTGGCCTGCAGGGAAAGTCGTCACCCCTGAGAAGATTCAGGAGGCCAAGGAGGTGTACCGAGAACACTTTCAGGATGACGTGTTCAACGAGAAAGGCTGGAACTACATTCTCGAGGTAACAGGAAAATCACCAACCGGGGGCACAGGCTTCCCCGTGGTCCTCACGTCCATGTGGTAGATTCTACACTCTTAAAAAAGGTGGTACTTCAAGGGTTCTTTAGTAAAGACATATAGAATCATGAACACTCAAAGAACAATTTGCATGCTTAAGTGGTTCTTCAGATTGAAGCATGGCACAAAAAAGTGGTACTATTATTACGATGTCTATCTTGTACCAATAGAACAATCTTTTTTGGAGCTATATAGAACCATTTTCAAAAAGATTCTATATAGATCCATTCTATATACACATTCGTCCTCAATCTGAAGAACGCTTTCACGATGCAAAGAACCCTTAAAGCATGCAAATGTTTTTTGAGTGTTCATGGTTCTGTACAGAACTGTTTATTCTGATAAAAAGGGAGAACCATCTTATTTAAGAGTGTAGAGAGCAGGTCTGTCACAGTTATTACAGAATTGCCAAATTGCAGTTATTTAAGCAAATATTTTCCACAGTCGTTAGAGCTGGGCGATCTGGCAAAAATATAATATTGCGATGCTTAAAGAAATTTGATTAGGCATAACATTATGACCACCTCCTTGTTTCTACGCTCATTGTCCATTTTATCAGCAGTGCTGCTGGAGTTTTTAAACACTGTGTCCACTCACTGTCCACTCTATTAGACACTCCTACCTTGTCGGTCCACCTTGTAGATGTAAAGTCAGAGACAATAGCTCATCTGCTGCTGCACAGTTTGTGTTGGTCATCCTCTAGGCCTTCATCAGTGGTCACAGGACGCTGCCCACAGGCTGGATATTTTTGGTTGGTGGACTATTCTCAGTCCAGCAGCGACACTGAGGTGTTTAAAAACTCCAGCAGCACTGCTGTGTCTGATCCACTCAGACCAGCGCAACACACACTAACACACCACCACCACGTCAGTGTTACTGCAGTGCTGAGAATGATCCACCACCCAAATAGTACCTGCTCTGTGAGGGTCCATGGGGGTCCTGACCACTGAAGAACAGGGTAAAAGGGGGCTAACAAAGTATCAGAGAAACAGATGGACTACAGTCTGTAACTGTAGAACTACAAAGTGCACCTATATAGTAAGTGGAGCTGATAAAATGGACAATGAGCGTAGAAACAAGGAGGTGGTCGTAATGTTATGCCTGATCGATGTATATCACTATATTTATCTTTTCAGACGTCTGATTAGTTGGAACAGAGAAGAAAGAGCCAGTAGTGCTACATTTTATAAAAAATACTATTAAAAATTAAGAACAGTGATCTTTATTTAGTATTTGGCACTTAGTCCAGTTAAACGTGACTAATTTTGCTCTCTTTATAATGAAACCTGCAGTTGGTCAGTGTCTACAAGCACTGACAATATACACGATATGTTCAGAAAAGCATACCGTGACATAATTTATCATGATAATGATATGTATCATCATTACCCAGCCTGAACAGTCATGTTGTGTCACAACAAGCAAATTGTGAGTGGGTGCGCTGGACTGAGGCAGATAAATGTAAATTAAAGGAAGAAGTAAATGCATTAATTAAAGCATCACAGGACTCATGAACCTACATGAGTCTTCTGAGTTTATATGGAATGTTGATGATGGAAAATAGTGGAAAATCTGAAATAATAAGTTTTCTTTGGGGACTATTTTGCCTCACAGCGCCCTGCATGTATCCCTCCACCATGAATGGAGTTTAAGTTCTCTAAACTATCATAAAACAGTGTCTCAGTCATCAGGCAGTGATGTTTCAGAGCATTTCACACCAAACCACTCTGAACCACCCTGAGCCGCTCTGTTTACATCAGCCGTTTAATTACGCGGAGTTTTGTTTTAAAAAGTGCTGGAATAATGTTTGAAAGGGGTCAACACTGTGGATTATGGTCACGAGCTTCCCTCTTCAGTTCCTCTCTAAATTACTCTGAAATATTCATATATCAGTGCCTTTTATTGCATTGAGACTTCTTACGATGCTGATGCTTCTTCTTTATAGAAGTACAACGGCCACCTGCCCATCGAGATCAAGGCTGTGCCGGAAGGAAGTGTGATTCCACGTGGGAACGTCCTCTTCACTGTGGAAAGCACAGATCCGGAATGCTACTGGCTCACTAACTGGGTGGAGGTGAGTGACGGAGTGATACGAAGGTTATAGCTTTCGGCGGAAGTTAGCTGAAGTTAGCTTTTTTGAAGTTCAGCAGCTAAACAAATACAGCCCCTCCCTTCAGTGTTGGGTCTGGAGCCTCGCCCTCAAAACACAGACAGGAGTGCTGTCTAGGATGGAACGCCTGACTGCTAGTGTGTCACGAGTGGACATCAATATAGCTGATTGAGTATCTGATGTTAGTTAATGGTAAAGCTCCCAAGCTGACGTTACCCTGAGTCACTCTGACAGAGCTCTTTCTGTGAGCTTCAGGTGTCATAATACCTGTCTAGCAGATTCAGTGTGTTTCAGATATGCCAGATAAGAGCTTCACAGTCTTTACCACAGACTACAACAGCTGAATATTTGTATTTTTGAATATTGTATCAGAATAAGGAAAGTTAAGCTGTATTACTTTAGCGATTAGACTAAAAGGGAACCTTATTGTAAGTAAATGTTTTTTAAAAAACACGTTTGAGACAAGAAGAGTTGACCAAAGTGCTGTACATAAAGAGAAAATATCAAAATCTAAAAATACAGGCTAATACAATCAAAAATAACCTGAATAGTCAATCAATCAGAAAACAGTAATAATCGTATAAAAAGTAACAATTAGTAAGATTTTAAAATGCTAACTGCTGCCTCATTTAAGGTGGAATCAAAAAATTTGGGCAGAAAAATGCTGAAAGGGGGTGTTGGACTAAAAACGTTTGAGGACCACGACTTCAGAGGTAGTTTAGTTATTAAATATTACATTATGTATTCTATATTGAAGTGTATCATACTAAATACTGCGTTATATATAAATATTGTATCTCAAAGCTTCAAGACGTTTTCATAGGCCTCTGAAAAACCTCAGTTTGGAGGGCCGTGTAGCCGTAACACTTCTCCCCTTTATCTCAACAAGAATCAGGACGCCCTTAACGTAGACGTGAACATGCGAAGTGGAGGGTAGCGCTGAGCGTTGGGGCGAGGGGTGAGACGGGGTTGGGCTGAGTTATTATTAGATTTTCCTGTTTTATGGTGACTAAGATGAATCCTGCTGAGTCACAGTAGCTGCTCCATTCAGGTGGATCCTGGGCTTCAGGGTGAGTCAGCATATTTCACACTGAGCCAAGTCACTGTGACAGGTGGGAATATGAGCTTCCGTTACATGATCCTCCCAACGGTTTCTCTGTTAAAGAGCCCGTCACCTGGAAAAACAACACATTAACATACAGGTGTACGCAGCAGTTTATGCGCCCCTAGTCAGTGTTATTGTTCATTTTCAGTGAAAACAGGTTAGACATCCTCTACAGAGACACACCACTGCCCATTTCCATACACAGTTACTGTTTATTTGCTGAATTTAGCACATTGAGGAATTAAAACAACAATGGCTTTTGGAAACGTTTGTATTTTGTTTACCTTAAAGGGCTTGTGTCAGGGAAAGCAGATTATTTTCTAAAATAAGAGTTTGATTTAGTATGTAAACATTGTAAAAGTTTCAAAGCATACTGTTCATTCAGCAGCTCGTACAGCGCCTGTATGGAGAGGGCAAAATATTTTGAATTAATGTTCTTCAGTATGATACCCTGAACAAATAACACGTTTACAAATATCCATCTGTTCAGCTTACAGCAGTTCAGCCCCGCCTATTCAACCTGAAGTTATAAGCCTGGTCTGCCTTTTGAATGAGGCACAGCCAATCAGAACAGAGTTCATTTGCACATATCAGTCTTAAAGGCACAGTTTAATCCTAAGGGATAAAGAGTGAACACAAAGCACAGCCGTAGAATCGGTGGAGACCAGCGGAGTTCATTTAGAGTTTTTTTATGGTATTACCAAGCATCGTCATGACTTCACTTTATGGCAGTGAGGCAGGCTGTTTATTAAAGGTGTTGTCTTTTCTCGTTATTTAGATATAGATGATAAAAGAATGACGTTATGGTAATGTTGCTTAAGAGGACATCAAAGTACTCAGTAAAGCTTCAGTAGAGATCATTGAGTTATGGTACGTTTCACAGTTAAAACAACCATTTCACAAGAACACCATAGCTCTAAGTATGTAAGTGACCCTTTATTATTCCCACAACGGGGAAATTCACCTCCGCATTTAACCCATCTGTGCGGTAAAACACCACATACACACTAGTGAACACACACTAGGGGGCAGTGAGCACACTTGGCTGGAGCAGTTGCTATCCACGGCGCCCAGGGAGCAGTTGGGGGTTAGGTGTCTTGCTCAAGGGCACTTCAGTCATGTACTGTCGGCTCAGGGGATCGAACCAGTGGCCTTCCGGTCACAGGGCTGGTTTCCTAACCTCCAGCCCACGACTGCCCCCCAGCTGTAAGCTAGTTTATCTAAGAGTGATTGGGCTTGCTTTTAGAAGATAAGCATCAAGAGAGGGCTACAGTACTGTTCTCCACCTGAGAGGAGAAAGATTAATTTATTTTTAAAATAAATTAATTAAAATGTTTACATTTTTTTAGTTTTCTCCAGAACACAGTTAAGAAACACTGAGGAAGGTATTAGTGAGTGATGCCCATTGAGTTCGGTCCTTTTCACAGCTAAAACTAACATTTCGCAAAATGAATATCATGACTATACGCTAGTTTATGTCAGAGTGATTTACAAATGAGAAAATACAGAGTTATAATTAAAACACGATTAACCCAATAAATAAAAAAGAGAAGATCATTAAAATAAAATTAGAAATTAAATTAGGATAGTTCATCAAATAAAAAATTAAGTTAGATTAGAATGAAAAAGTGCCAGTACAGAGGAAAAGGGGCTAAAAGATGCACACATTGAGAGAGGGCTACAATACTGCTCTCCCCCAGCAGAGCACTCATTACATTTGACTGTTCAGACAGAGTTTTTTCATCTAGTCAGGCTCTCCAAGTATTCTCCAAATACTTCTCCTTATCGCAGCGTCGTTTAGCCAGCACTAACATCAAACTCCCGTGTCTCTTTGGTCCGGGCGGATTGTGAAGTAACAGCCTGTAAACGCTGGGCATTCGGTTTATACTGGTTTGCTGTTTGAGAAGTCAAGAGTGTCCTGTTCCTCTCTGTAATGAGGCAAATATTACTGTAGCAGCATTTAAGGCGGAACGGAAATTTTAAATAAAAAGTCGACTTTAGTTTCATCTGGTTAGCTTTGTTAGCTGTGCTTGTTGACTAATATCACACACATCTCTATAAAGGTGGTTCATCCAAAGCATTACTTTACTGGCTCTCTGTGTGATTTATTTATTTAATTTATTTAATTTATTAGATTATTATTTATTATAATATGATTTATTTGCATGATTTGCTATTTATAGTCGAATACAAACAGTATCAGTGTCTAATCAGACGGTGACCAGCTAGGTTCGTTTAGAGTTTACCAGCATTACTAAGCATTGTCATGACTTCAGTTTTTGGCGATGAGGCAGGCTGATTATTAAGGCTGTTGCCTTTCTTCGTTATTTAGATATAGATGATAAAAGTATAGCATTATGTAAACGTTGCTTAAGAGATCAAAGTACTCGATATGTCCTCCGTAGATCACACTGAGTGCGTCTCATAGCTAAAATTACAATTTCACAACAAGTGAATACTATCAGCTGGTTAATCTCAGGGTGGCTGCGGCTGCTTTCAGGAAACTCGCTAAAAGATATAAGCTTTAAGAGAACGGTGTAGTACCGCTGACAGAGCAGTCATTTCTTCTGCTTGGATAATTATGACACAAAATTATATTTCACTAATTTAGAGACACTTTTTGTCTAATCAGGCTATCCACGTATTCTCCAAATGCTTGGTACAGCAGCAGTGTTCGGACACAGCGAGCATCAACCTCCCGTGTCTCTTTTGTCTGAGCGGGTTGTGAACACTGGGCATTCAGTTCATACCGATTGGCTGCTTGAGAATATTGAGGAGTGTCCTGTTCTTCTCTGTAATGAGGCAAATATCACATTTAAGTGGAACGAAAAGTCTGAATAAGAAGCTGATTTCAGCTTCGTCCGAATTTGAGTTTGATGCAGTTGGCTAGTATTACCACCCCCTCCACAACCACCAACACCACAGTTTTAGAACCTGTCTGCATGTCACTCTCTTCTTAACCAAGCAGACGGATGATGGGGGGCAGTTATGTGGTGAAAGTGAGGGTCATAAAATGACTGACTGAAGGTCGGTGTAAACACAGACCGCTCCACCCTGCAGCTTTCCAAATGCACGTTTTGTGGCTAAAATGATTATTTATCACCTGCTACATATTTTCCATGTTAATTAATGCACATTTAAGCTTTCTCACATTATGCACTTGCTTTTAGTAACACTGTTGTTTGTCTCAGAGGCTAGGAAACCGTATGGCAGATGTGCGGCAGGTAAATTTAGAGCCCGCTTAGTATGAGGTGCTCTTGGCAGTCTCGGTGCCAGATGTTGTTTATCTCCGTTCTGCCCAGTAAAGAATGCAGGGGGCAGGGCTCTGTACCTTCCTTTACACTGACCATAAAGAACCAGCAGTTCACTTACAGTGTCGTACCTGTTTGAGCCGATTCTGTCACAGTCAGTATTGACAAATGTTTTTGGATGTTTCTCTTTGTTACTTTACTTGATAGCAACACCTTAGCAACCACCTCGGGTGGGTTTGGAATAGCAGTGACCTAGCGACACCTTAGCAACTACCTGGAATAGCATAGCAGTGACCTAGCAACACCTTAGCAACCACCTGAGATACCGTAGCAAAAGCATAGCAACACCTTAGCAAGTACTTGGGATACTGTAGCAATGGCCTAGCAACACCTTAGCAACCACCTGGTAAAGCATAGCAGTGACCTAGCAACCACCTGGGATACTACATCAACGTCCTAACATCTTAGCAACCACCTGGGATACCGTAGCAATGGTAGCAACACCTTAGCATTGTCCTGGGATACCATAGCAATGAACTAGCGACAGCTGGGATATTATAGCAACGTCCCTATAGCAGTAAAGCCAGGCTTATTTGGTGTGAGACTGACCAAACTTCTTGCCGTGAGATGAATTTATTTCTTTGCATGCTACCTTGAAACGAGACTGAGGTTAGACGACTTTTGGCATCCGGAAAAACCACAAAACTCTGAGAAACGGGAACGACACAGATAAGGTTACAGTTCTACGGCGCAGACTTTCATAAATAACACTGGCAGAGGTGAACACTCAGCTGACGGACTGTTAGCCGTGAGTCTGTCCTGCGTCCTTTTATCTCTTCTACGAGTAAAAGCCAGTCTGAGATTTACTGTCTGGTCTCTCGCTCGGTCACTCTCTCTTCCTCTCCTTCTCCGACAGCGTCTTCTTCGGTCTCTCTGCAGCCTCTGCCGTGATGTCCATGCTGGGAATACCGAGCTGCTTCTTCTTGTAGCTGCTGAGTTGTTGGTGTGACGTGGTGCCGTAAAGTGTTACGCAGTTCTGGCGAGAGGTTCTCGTGCTGCTCCTCCAAAGTTACATAGCGCTATAGCAGGAGTTCCGGCCCGGAACGACAATGACAGAGACGCCATCTTCACTGTTATAAATCAGTGTAGCATCAAAATGACTGTGGTGGTCATTTAGCTCTTGGTAAAAAGTGTCTCAGATTGTCAACATTGCCAAACATTTTATCATCACAGCCCTTTACATTTGAGCCAATCACTCCATTATGAGTTGATTGATTCACATTAATAATTGAATTAAGTATTTAAAGTATTACTTTTGCAGCCCTGATCTTCGCTGTCTGCCGCAGGAACAGTGAGCGCTCTGACTTGTACGTCTCCGAGGGAAGGGAAGTGGGAATCCCTGATCTGTGGGAGTCACATGATGGCATATTATAGTTGCTGGTTTTATAGGCATGTGACTGCACTGGCCTTCTGCACTAATAGGCTCTGTCAGGCTGCAGCTAATCTCCTGCTAAAGATGTCCAGCTGCACTCAAAAGTCATGTTTGTTCAGCGTGTTCGTCGGCATCTCAGTCATCCGATCATTACGGCCGGTTATACAGTAGACACTCTGTTATACGGAATTATATTTTATTAAGGACACGTTACACCAGCCTCTGCCATAAACTCTTTATCAGCAGCACTTCGCAGCTGATAGAGCAGAAGTCACGCCCTGCACCTCCTCATGTTCGCTGCTTGGGCCCGTATATAATGGCTATTGGCAAACTAAGCGAACAGATGTGACCCAGTTTTAAATCCACATTACTTTTTTTCCTGCAACTCACTAGTGAGCATTTCACAACAACAAAGTTTTTATTCTTTAAAGGCATCAAACGTCCTATATTTTTATTTTTAGTCCACTGAGGCACTTTTCTTTCTTAACGTTGTGCTTTTATGTACCAAAAACAGTCAAAATTCATTTTTACATTGTCATTTTTCAACCTCTTTTTATCTAAATTAAACTCTGTTTTTGTTACTGTGCCTTTAAGACTGATACATATGTAAATAAGCTCTGTCATGATTGGCTGGCCAGTACTGAGCCTCATTCATAAAGCTGTCTGGGCTGAAACACTCCTTAGAACTTCAACATGAATGGTGGGGCTAAACTGCTGTAGGATTAATGGGCGGGGCTAAACTGCTGTAGGCTGAATGGGCGGGGCTAAACTGCTGTAGGATTAATGGGCGGGGCTAAACGGCTGTAGGCTGAATGGGCGGGGCTAAACTGCTATAGGCTGGTCAGATTGCATGTTTTGTTGATTTTCTAAGTGAAACACATGTTCTGCACACCTAAATGGAAGTGCTGGTGTGTGTTGTGCTGGTACGAGTGGATCAGACAGTGCTGCTGGAGTTCTTAAACACTGTGTCCACTCACTGTCCACTCTATTAGACACTCCTACCTTGTCAGTCCACCTTGTAGATGTAAAGTCAGAGACGATAGCTCATCTGCTGCTGCACAGTTTGTGTTGGTCATCCTCTAGTCCTTCATCAGTGGTCACAGGACGCTGCCCACAGGACGCTGTTGGCTGGATATTTTTGGTTGGTGGACTATTCTCAGTCCAGCAGCGACACTGAGGTGTTTAAAAACTCCAGCAGCACTGCTGTGTCTGATCCACTCAGACCAGCACAACACACACTAACACACCACCACCACGTCAGTGTTACTGCAGTGTTGAGAATGACCCACCACCCAAATAGTCCCTGCTCTGTGAGGGTCCATGGGGGTCCTGACCACTGAAGAACAGGGTAACAAAGTATCAGAGAAACAGATGGACTACAGTCTGTAACTGTAGAGCTACAGAGTGAGACTACACGGTCAGTGGAGCTGATAAAGTGGACAGTGAGGGTAGAAACGAGGAGGTGTTCCTAATAAAGTGAAGCGGTGGTGATTGTTCAGGGAGGGTTTTGTGGGGCAGAGAGGGCAGAGAGGACGAGGGTAACGGGGTTAGATGCAGTGTGATAATATTGACCTGACTGGCTGGACCGAAACAAAGCGGCGCTCCGAGCCCCTGGCAGACGGCCCCCTAAGCCAGGGTCCGGCTGGGACTGTAGCGGGCCAGCCAGCACTGTACACACGGTGTGTTGATTCTGCTGCGGTCCTGTGTGCCATGTTCCCAGCTCGCTGTGTCCACTCGAGTCGCCAGGGGGACAAAGCGAGGCTCAGGGGGTCTGAGAGTGCACTGTGGGGTCTGGACAGAGACTGGACTCCCAGCAGGACTGCACAGCAACATTGTTAAAGAACCCCTGCACTCAGAAATGTGTTTCTAAATGTTTATAACCCTGATTGTTTGGCATGTACATTTAATGGATGGATTTGTTTTCATCGGTTTCGTCTTTGGCGTATCTGTATGATAAATCGTCTGGTGGGAGTGTGTAAATATGTACGTAATAGTTTAACAACCCTGCTTGATTTGCGGTTAACTAACCAGAACTATTATCAATATCACCTTTAATACCAATAATAAGAATAAAAAATAGAAGATAGCAGCGATACTAGTAATTTGTGCACATGGCATTCCAGTACAAAAGTATATCGCTGCTGTTAGACCAAAACCTCGTATCTCCGAAATGGCAACTTTACAGGAGAAGGAAAAAACACACTTTATTTTTAATGTAAGTCAATGGAACCAGACCTTTTTCCAAGTAGTTTGGGTCGTTTCTTTTGGTCCATTCATCATGAAATTTACATACAATATAAAGGACAACAGTTATTTTCAAATTATGTCAAAAACTGAAAAAAATGGAGATATGAGGTTTTGGTCTGACAGCAGCGAAATGTCCTTGTATGCATGCATGTTATATAGTATAAACAAAATATCACTTTACAGAAGAAGAAAAAACCTTAAGTTGTAGTGGATGATATTGTCAGAAGATTTTTTTCCAGGTAAATTTTGACCATTTTTGTTGCTCCGTTCATCATGAAATTCAAACACAAAGCAAAAGGTAACTGTAGATTCAAATAATGCCAGAAAGATGCTGCGATTGTTCCATGTTTTGTTTAAAGACCTGTAACGCTGTGCTTTTAAAAAGTGTTATTTTGATGTTTGTTATCCTCGGAATAGCTTGTTATGCTTCTTCAGCTCCTGCATGAGGCGGTGGAGCTGCTCATGTTGAACCTTCTGTAGAACGGCGGGTGCACTGAGAGTCGTTTAGTTGCAGTGCATGAAAGAAAATGATAAATTCATCTCTGCTGCTCAAGGAATACGTTTGCTCTCATGTTTAGAACGAAAAAATGACATCCTACTCGTTATGAAAGTTCTTCTACTTTAAAAATCACATCTTCCGGGCTCCCAAGTGCCGCAAGCGTTGGCCCTCTCATGATCAGTGATGTTTGTAATTAATGGTGATTATCTTGCTCCAGTGGTTGGGTCACAATCCAGGTACCGAGGGTTTTTACTGAACTGGGAAAATCAGCGTTTAGTTACAGCACCAGTGAGCTGGACCCTCACTACAGGAAGCACTACAGCTCAGCTCGCTGGGTCACTCGGTCATTTAAACTCTTACTCTCTAACCACCTCCACTCTGCCTCACACTGTTTACTGATTCTCACTATCATTGTCTTATTTTCATTATTTTATTATTTATTTATTTGTTTATTTATTATTATTCATATTCTTATTATTTTAATATCTTCGTGTGATTATTTTATTATTTTAGTCATTTTAATACATTTTTAGTTTACTTTTATTATTTGATATGTTCTTACACTTTATCAGTCCCTTGTTCTGTATCAACTCAGCAACATTGTAAATGAGGGTCAGCCTCAGTGACCTCTAAGATTAAACAAGGGTTGTTTGATTGATTGATTGATCATCAAGAAATCAAGAGTTTGATCCCCGGTGATGCTACAGCCGTCCGTGTCCGGGAGTCCAAGAGAGCACAGCTGGCCTCGCTCTCTCTGGGTGGGCAGGGCGGCCCCCCGCCTCCCCCGTTTCCCCCATCCCTCAGCGTGATGATCTTTTTTATTGGGAAGAATCGTACTACTAGTGTAAATAGGCCTCAACGCTTTCTACATTCTAGCGAGTGACGATGATGCGTGAGGCGATATCTGTACAGGGTGCACACGGCAGCAAAAGACCACACCCCCCATAGCCTGATCAGAGGACATTTTAGACTGGATTTGTCTAATAAAACTCACAGCCTCAAACAGCCGTTTACTTGCGTCGGATCTGTTTGATGTGGGTAAGCCGTGTGGGTTGACGCCTACACGATTAAGAAACCTGTCTAACTGCAGTCTAATGTTACATCCAGAGTGTTTCTGCCGTTGTCTTCACCCTGTCTCCACAACATCTCCAGAAATATGCCTTTGTCTTCACTCTCTGCACAGACTATCCTGGTTCAGATCTGGTATCCAATCACGGTTGCGACGAACTCACGTGAGCAGAAGAAGATCCTGGCCAAATATCTCATGGAAACATCTGGAAACTTGGAGGGACTAGACTACAAGCTGCACGACTTCGGCTACAGGGGAGTTTCTTCACAGGAGGTGAGTAGAAACATTACAGTGGGGATAGACGATGATATCAGAATCGTATCAGTATCGGCAGATTTTTGCTTGAAAAAATTTCAGATGTTTAGATTTTACTCATATTTAATGATGTATTTAGATAGATAGACAGATAGACAGCCAGACAGATAGACAGACAGACAGATAGACAGAGATAGATAGACAGATAGATAGACAGACAGATAGATAGAGATAGACAGATAGATGGACAGAAAGACAGATAGATAGATAGACAGACAGACAGACAGATAGATAGATAGATAGAAGGACAGAGACAGATAGACAGACAGATAAATAGACAGATAGATCGACAGACAGAGATAGACAGATAGATGGACAGAAAGACAGATAGATAGATAGACAGACAGACAGACAGATAGATAGATAGATAGAAGGACAGAGACAGATAGACAGACAGATAAATAGACAGATAGATCGACAGACAGAGATAGACAGATAGATGGACAGAAAGACAGACTGATAGATAGATAGACAGACAGACAGACAGATAGACAGACAGATAAATAGACAGATAGATAGAGACAGATAGACAGACAGATAGACAGACAGATAGATCGACAGACAGACAGATAGATAGACAGACAGACAGAGATAGACAGAAAGACAGATAGATAGATAGACAGACAGATAGATAGACAGTCAGTTTTTTGTATAGAATACATTAGCAACAAAGTTGTTTTACGTTTTAAATGGAGAGATTTAACCTGACACACTGCCTGTAGATGAGTTGGACCAATCAGAAGCTACAAAAACGTGGATGTTCTGTATGTGTGATGTCACAACCATGACAACTAACTGGTAGTCTGGCACACTCAGTGTTCAAGCTTCATGCCCGAAAAAGTGAATATGATGCTCTTCTTGGCGAAAAACAGGCTTGGAAATGAATTTATAGAAAATAATTGCATTTAAATTGATCAGAAAAAATCACAATTAGATATTTTCCCCAGTTTGTTCAGCCCTGTTTATTAACCTGAACAGCAGGATGTTTAGGTGATGCTGGGTTGCTGCAATATAATATTAATTTTATTCATTTTTTTCATTTTACTGCATTTGTTACCTTGTATAAATGTTATATTTCTGTAATACTTATCCAGATAGATGTAGTCCCAATTTATACAATGTATAATTGTATATGTAACAGATTGGTCAGATATAGACATGAACAATATCAGCACACAGTTCCTATTCCATATTGGTGCAGTGTATATATTACAATCTGCCAGAGCATATGAGTCATTCTCACTTTGGGTTCTAGACTGCTGGTATCGGAGCTTCGGCGCACTTGGTAAACTTCAAAGGAACAGACACAGTTGCTGGGATTGGAGTCATCAAGAAATACTACGGCACCAAAGACCCAGTGCCTGGGTTTTCTGTACCAGCCGCAGAACATAGGTGAGCTTTCAACAGGTGATAATGAAGCTTGAATTCCACCAATTTTCCAAATTTCTGATATGATATAGGCCCTTCACAGTGGTTTGGTGTGAAATGGTTCAGATGTCTTTACAGTGGTGGTGATAGGAACCAGGAGTCGCCATGACTACAACACAGATATAGACATTTTATTTACTATCCAGAACCACCAGTGAACCTACATGAGTCTTCTGAGTCTATATGGAATGTTGATGATGGAAAATAGTGGAAAATCTGAAATAATAAGTTTTCTTTGGGGACTATTTTGCCTCACAGCGCCCTGCATGTATCCCTCCACCATGAATGGAGTTTAAGTTCTCTAAACTATCATAAAACAGTGTCTCAGTCATCAGGCAGTGAATTCATAACCATTTCATGTAGGAACTTTCTGTGAGGGAGCTTTTAGAGGTGGACGTCTGGTTCCTATCACCACCACTGTGAACAGTTCTGACTCGGTAAGTTTATCTAGAACGGAGCGTTTCACACCAAACCACTCTGAACCACTCTGAACGTCTTCAATCTTAGCTGTTTACTCATGCAGAGAATTTGAAAAAAGTGGGTGGAATTCCCCTTTAAGGGCCCTTTGGGCTGTACACAGATAAACTGTGTGTGCTCTTCCTGGACTGATGATGACACACTGCATTCTGTGGCAGTTATTGCCGCCTGATTTCACCCTTCACATCCCCAAGTGCATTGTGGGTATGGCGCCAGAGCTGGCGGCGCCCTCTGTTGTGCAGTACTCAGCTTTGCACAAAGACTCAGCACTCATGGTCGCTCTCCAAAATGTAGAATAACCCCTTACTAAATATAGTGGAGATTAAAGAACACTTTGCTGTCGTTCTGTTTGATCTCAGGCATCTCAGACAGGCAACATCACATCACGGACTGTGGTGCCCCCTAGTGGCCGCCTTATGGAGATTCGGTTCTCTTTTCTGAGAGACAGAGGTTCCCAACCTTTTCTAACAGACCACAAAAGCCTCTGCAGCACACAAGATTTTATTTTACTAGTCCAGATCATTTAAAGTGCAAACAAGTGGCTCCCAGGAAGCCAATCGGAACCGTTAGTTTTGGGTCTGTGCAAAAGTAAATACTTTCTGGTATAAGATTTACATAGAATTTTGGACAAAAATCACTTTTAATTGGGGGAACTTTGGGCTTCTATATTCAGCATCTACAAACATTAAAACAAAATACTAATTTGGAATATTTAGGCTCAGTCCCATTTCTTCTTTTAACCCCTACCCCTTGTTTTCGAGTGTCACCCTAACCCCTTGAAACTGAGTTACAGGGTAGTGGTTGAACTCTTCCTCTGAAATGGGACCCTCAAATAAAAAGAGCATCACTTCATTAACAGCTACCAGCGCTGCTCTGTAGGCAACCCTGCCAGTCTGCAGTGACAGCAGAGGAGGGTAAAGTTCAGCTCCTCACTGCTGGGCTTTAGTTACATTTAGGGATCATATGATCTTCAAAGAGGGGGGCAATTATTTATTATCACCCCCCCTAATTCTTCAGTGATATGAAGCTGAAGTCAGATATTCACCAGCTTCTTGTTCTAATTTTCCAGTTCCACCTTAAATGGAGCAGCAGTTACATTCTGGCCCTTCAGGCGTCAGAACTGCTGGACTATTTAAGGTGGAACGGGAAAGTTAGATAGCTAGCTACCGAGACATTAGCATGCTATTAGCGATTTTTTATGCTTGTTATGAAGAAAACGACCAAAATACACTGAAAAAACATGAAACTAAGATAAAACAATGTTTTAGAGTAATTTTTAACATAAAAAATTCTCACATTTGTGGGTTTCATGTTATTGACAAAATATTTGGAATGTAAAGAATCACCTTCTCCATGAGGCTTCAGGAACTGAAATTCGAGAGAAGTGAAGAAAGTATATTTTCTCAAAATGCCCCTTCTTTTGTTAAAGTATGTTTATTTAATTATTTATTCTGTTTATTTCTCTTTAGTAGCACCTTGTTTTTTGCGTTTTATAATTGTGTTGGAAAGAGTGAAAAGATGGATCTCTCGACTAAAGATGACTGTAAACTACTGTTTAACTATTACCTGTTTCCTAAATAAATAAATAAATAAATAAATAAATAAATAAATAAATGAATAACAAGCAAACACATGCAGTCTGTCAGTTTCGCTTGATTTTATAATTTAACGCAACACAATAAGTACTAAAAAATAACCAGACATTTTCTAGCTCGCCTAATGAGTTGGCTAATGTTATTTGGCAGCTTCAGTGCTGGAAGAGATGCTGAAGAACTGAAAGCTGCGAAAGGAGATCTGGCTCAGCTCAGGTTTAGATTAATATTTGTTTAGCCTCCAGTTGACGGCATAATTTGTTGTGCTTCAAAGCTTCATTTAACTTTTCCTAGATCACCGTATCAGCACCGGCGCACTTCCGTCATTCACTTTCAGGTTTTAAAAATCTTTAAAAATAAAAATTTTTATGCATCAAATCGATTCCAATCTGATCAAATCCAGCAATATGACGATGCAGCATACAGGTAGAAAGCTCAGACTCTCAGGATTTGATTCAAACCATTTTATGATCCGTTATTCGCAGCAGTTACGACCGTTTCATTTGCAGCATGAGCTCCAAATGAGCAAACACTAGTAAATCTGCAGGATACAGGTTGTGCTGTGGCTCACTGGTGTCTGTAAAGTGAAGCAGGCGGAAATAAACTCCTCCATTCCAGCCTCTGTTACTCTGTGTGAGTAATTCATTCAGTTATTCTGACTGTGGGGGAAAAACGTGAGCGTGTTACCTTTCAAATGAGACCAAGATCATGATGGTAGCCCAAAGTATGTGGGAACAGCGCCCCCTTTTATTTAGGGTATGCCATTACAGGCAAAAACTTGTACAGTTAAGAGGTTAATAAAGAGCTCTGAGTGTTCAGCACAGAGCAGCAGTTACTCGTTTTCTGTTCTTGAACGCATGAAGCCTGAAGGCTCTTACACACCGAGTGTGATTTATTTGTGCAGTATTTTAGGACGATAGTAATTTATTCGATCACGAGTAACTGATAACATCCTGCACACCAGATGTGATTTTTTTAACAAAAAAAGACATTATTTTATTCGCGCTCTGTTTGATATTTGTGACGATTCGTTTGTCCTCTTACAAACATCCGAGCTAAATCTGAAATCTTTCTTTAAGCTCCATCTCCTGAATGAGGAGCTGAAACTCTCTGTGCTCCATTTACTTGTCCAGAACGGAGAGAAGCTCACTCAGAGTCCGTTTGACCATTTTGTGACCGTTTGTTTTTGTCGTGGCGGGATAAGGCTCAGTACTCACTGCTGTACTTTCTTCATTTTGGTTTATACCTGGTTTTCTTGCTTTTCTCAGTCTGAGATACGGTGGCTGTTTCACCTGTAGGTGGTCCAGCCTGGGGGTCTTTCTTTTCAAAAGGCTCTGTTTGTAACCATTTATACATGATGGAGAAATTTCATACAAACGAAGGGAGGAATGTTTTACTTTTACTTGCACTGCAAATGTTGACATAGCTAAGACTGATAAGTGAGGTCAGTCTAAATATTATGTTCTGTTTTTGCAAAGAATTATTCATATTTAAAGGAAACCTAGTATGTTCATTTTTAATGATCATAATTTTATTTTTGGGTTCTACTAGAATAGATATAATAGAGCTTCAGTGTTCCAAAAACGCGCCATTTTTCCTCATACTGTCCATCTCTATTCACCCTCTGTCCGAAACGCTCTGTTAGAGCTCCTGTGTCTTTAAGCCTCGCCTCCCGATGAGCCCAGTGTGCTCTGATTGGTCAGCTCGCCCACTCTGTTCTGTCCGGTCAGCTTCCAGAGCGGTCCCGCCCCTCCAGGTTCCACCCCTGTCCTGCAGTGTGCAGACAGACCCTTCTCTCCTGAGCAGCTGTAACTCTGCTGTGGCTGATTCTCCAGCGGCGCCGGTTCTGCCAAATCAGTTTGATCCAGAGTGGATCCTGAAAGTCCGGTCAGCGTCTCTCCACGTGCTACAGCACTGAACACACTCTTCCTCCTCCAGTAGCCGCTGTGCGCTGTGTGAGGGGGCGGAGCTCACTGGTAGGCGGGCAGTAAGGACTGTGTTACGAGATGATGTCATCCTTTAACAAAGAAAAAGGGCTGAAATTCCAATGAGGCGTTTCAGGCAGCTGAGAAAAGTGGGTTCTGTGGGAGAGAGTTTCTCCCTCTGGAGGGAACGCTGAGCTTTGCACAAAAAGATACAACACGTTAAAGGACAGGGAAACCAGGGAAGCGTAATAGGCCCCCTTTAAAATAACACTTGGTTAAGTTTCTGTGTAGCAGCACCGCTGACCCTGATATCCACACTGTTCCCTTTTTAACCCCCACAGCACAATCACTGCCTGGGGCAAAGACCACGAGAAGGACGCCTTTGAGCACATCATAAAGCAGTTCCCCTCCGTGCCCGTGTCCATCGTGAGCGACAGCTACGACATCTACAACGCATGTGAGAAGATCTGGGGCGAGGACCTGAGGACGCTGGTTGAGAAGCGGAGTGCAGACGCCCCTCTGGTGGTGCGGCCGGACTCGGGGAACCCGCTGGACACGGTGCTGAAGGTAAAACTGAGCAGTGGCCTTCAGCACTGCGTTAGAAGTGATGTTCTGTTATATGATGTGTAAAGCCTCTCTTCTTAACATCTCCATGGACAACATGCTGCCTTGTTGCCTCAGTTTGGCTTATGAAAGATGAATGTCCACTAGTGATAATGGAAAAGCTGTAAAAATGCTGTGGGCAATAACAGTAATAAGAAGAAACAAAAAAGGTAATAACAACAGTAGTAATAAAAAGAAGAATAGGCAACAACAATAATAGCGTCATCATATCCATGATATGTGATTTGAAGGCGTACATCACCTTTTATGTAAATTTATTAAGTAAAAAATATAAAAAGCAAGTTATGTGAGTAATTTTGGGGTCCATTTTCATTCTTTCTGATCAGCTTTACAAGTTTACATTCAAACGCTGATGCACGCCTTCAAATCATGTTCATGAATATGATAAAGTTCACGAATGTGATACATTCTGGCTCAAATCTAACACCAGATAATGTTGAGTAAGTAAAAACAAAACTTGTTTTTCACAATCTTCAAAAACAGTTTCTTAAAATGATCTACTGAGGTCGCCTGTCTAATCTCGACTGAGAAGTTGGCCCATTTTTGATTGCAAAGAACCAAAAAGCTGCCTCAGCATCTTTTCTCTTTTGATATTTATCTTTTTATCTTGTTAATTTAATTTAATGTATAATATTTAATTGAATATGATAATCATAATTACTTCTGTCAATGTTGAACTTTATCGCCTGACTATAAAGCACTTTGAGCTGCCATGAGTGCTCTGTAAATAATGCTGTTACTATTAAAATTATTATTATTATTACTATAATTACTTCTTGTTGACCTCTAGTATATTAAACATATCTGCAATTAGATATAGGGCAATTTGAGCGGGCCAGGGTGACGATATTTTTTCGTTATCTTGGTAAGTTTTGTTATTGTGATAATCTTTTTTGAGCATATAGTGGGATAGAGAAAATGAGAAAATGTCTTGATGTATCGTGATATATTTTTGCCATATTGCCCAGCCCTTAGAACAAGGTCAAGTAGACAGTTTTAGTGTTATGGTCTGTATGCATGTCTCTGTGGTCCACGTTCCGTTCTCACTCAAAAAGAACCGCACCAGCATCCGTTTGGAAGCAGAACACGACTGATTAGGGTTCTCGGTTTGCTTATCTGGTGCACAAGAGTTTAAATGTTGGTGTTCTCACTTGTAACGAACCACACTAACAGAGTAATCACAGTAGGGCTCATGTAGTGTGTGAGATTTAGTGGAATCTATTATGAGAAACGGAATATAGTAACAAAGCCATGTTCTCATCAGTGTTTAATCACCTGTAACTACATTATCTTAGAATGAGCCCTTCATATCTACAGCAGCTCCTCTTCAGCAGAGGCTACCATGTTGCACCACCATGTTTCTACAGTAGCCCAGAACAGATAAACCAAACTCTGCCTCTAGAGGGCACCTTTCATGCTTTTACACTGAAGAGGAAGCTTGAATTTGGTGGTGCTGTAGCTCTGATTGGAAGGCATAGAAAGAAGAATCAGTGGTTGCTGCCGGAGCTCCTGAACATTTTGTGTAGTGAGAAGTTTGAGAACCCAAATTTTGACAAAAGGAGGATCAAACTTATTATTTAGCACAAGAAAAAGCGAGAGAGGGAGAATCCTCACCGACAGAGAAGAGAACACAGGAAGAAAAACGAAATCGGGACAGACGACGGCAGAAAACTTGATGTCCACCGTAGGTTCTGCTACATGCTTAGAAAGGGAGGGGTGAGGGAGGGGGATTCAGCTGGGTGCAATCTGCATCCTCACCACTAGATGACACCAAATCTTACACACTGCATCTTTAATAGAACCAAGCTTACTGGGTGTGAAAACTCCCTTAAATGACCATCACTGTCTAATTCCACAGGTCCTGGAGATTTTGGGGAAGAAGTTTCCTCCCATCGAGAACTCTAAGGGCTACAAAGTGCTTCCACCCTACATTCGGGTTATTCAGGGCGACGGGGTCGACATCAACACTTTGCAGGAGGTCCAGCTTCATTTTCAAGCTATTATTATTATTATTATTATTATTATAATTATTGTCATTATCATTATGGGGTTTGATTGTTTTATTTATTTGTCTGTTCTGTAGATAGTGGAAGGGATGAAGGAGCACAGGTGGAGCATCGAGAACATTGCGTTTGGATCGGGAGGTGCTCTTCTGCAGAAACTAACCCGAGATCTTCTCAACTGCTCCTTCAAGTGCAGCTACGTGGTGACAAACGGACTCGGGGTGAGGCCTCCTCGTCTTAGCGAAGCGCTTTATTTCAGCATTGATTAATGCTTTGGTTGTGGTTAAAACTGTTTTTCATGAATTCAGTGTCGAGTTACAATGTCGAGCTACGTATTTTGGTGACCTTGAACCTGAAACTGAACTTCTCCCAGCGTTTCAAACTGAACGACTGTCATTCTTTACCATTTGTAAAACTATTTATAGCATCCTCTCCATTATTTAGCTGCATAATTATTAATTTTTCATGGATTAAAATCCACTCAGCCTGAAAAGGAGCCGTTAGTTGATGGTTACACTCTTTATTCCTCTTCCTGCAGGTAAATGTCTTCAAAGATCCTGTAGCAGACCCCAACAAAAGGTCAAAGAAGGGTCGCCTGTCGCTCCACAGGACACAAGGTGGAGACTATGTGACTCTGGAGGAGGGGAAGGGTGAGCTAGAGGAGTATGGAGTGGTACGTGCTTTGTTTTCATCTAAATATTGTCATTTCCATCACCTCATCTCACATATGACACATAGAACATCTGAAGTGTGATGATATAACCCTATGAAATTTTAACTGGCGATTAAATGTCACATAAATAATTCCAATTAACTATTTAATTAATTAATATTTATATAATATTTATATTTAATTTCATATTTAATTCATCTTTTTTTGATTCATTGGTGCAACTGTTAAATGCAAGCCTAAAGCAGCTAATTTAACCCAATTCACACACAGTATGACTGTGGAGAATTATTGCAGTTAGCTTAACTCAGTGTGATCATGTCAAATATAGTGTGTGTATATATATATATAGGCATAGTAATTATAGTGATTGTAACAAGTGTGACAGGCGTAGCTGCAAAGCTATTTTTAAAAGCATGAAAGCCGGTATTACTGAGTGTTTAGCCAGTTAGACTGTATTTATTAACTAAAATCACATAAAGAAAAAATATTTAAATGTACAAACCAAAATTAAAATAAAACAATCACTTCTCAGCAGTTTCTTTCGATTTATACTCCAACTGAGCAGAAATGCTTTGTAGGCTAAACCGTTTTGCCCACTTTGTTAACACTTGATGATGAGTTACCTGCGTCCGTCTCCAGGGGCGCCGGTAGGAAGTTTGGGCCCCCTGAAAATTTCCCTCAGCAGAACCGGCACAACATTAAAACATGCCAGCATCCTCATAACCCTGCCTGTCAGATTTACCAGCTCTTACTGAGCTGTGAATACGAATATAACAGCATGACTGCATTTCAAAATACTGTATACAACTGACCGAAATCCTGAAGTGCTTCTCAGAAGCGCAGCTTCACTGTCGACGCAGAACTTTCACTGTTTTTGACGAGAACAGATACATTATTCAGAACCCCACACACTCGATTATCAGCTATAGATCACAGAATTTAGTGGTGGAATAAGAAACAGACAGATAAATAAATTGATAGACAGACAGACAGACAGATAAATAGACAGACGCACAGATGGATGAATGGGTAGACAGATAGATAGATACATAGGTGGATAGATATATGGACAGACAGACAGAACTGTATTAATCTTGAGGGAAAAGACATTGTTAAAGCAGCAGGTATGAAAAACACTTTACCAGCCAAACAGACATTAAGAATCCGCCTAAAGAAGAAAGGAGAGAGGATTAATAATTTCAGATACATACAAACATACAGGAACATAATAAAGAGCACTTAAATCATAAATCAGTGTGTAGCGCAGGAGCGAGTTCACTGGAGGTCATTTCCAAAACAGAGCAGCTTATAAATTTTAGAGCATTAAAAAATAAATAAAGTAATAGAGATACAGTAGATCTTAATAGATGCTGTAGGTGGACCTCGGGGGGGGTAATAATAATCATAATAATAATAGTAAGAATAATAATAATGGAACCCTCCAGTCTGACATCACATAACCACATCAGTATTTTTACATGACGTTAAATATCTGTCTGTCTTCTCCTGCAGGACCTGCTTCACACGGTCTTCCACAACGGGAAGATAGTGAAGACGTACTCGTTCGACGAGGTCAGGGACAATGCCAGGCTGAAGGGGAGCGAAGTGGAGGAGCTGCTTTCTCCTTCATACACTGTCCTCCACAGGGCTGGAGACTATTAGAGACCCCAGCACATTTACTGTCCCGAGCCCCTGCACTGAGAGAGAGAGAGAGAGAGAGAGATAGAGAGAGAGAGAGAGTGAAACAAGTGTGTGAGAGAGAGAGAGAGATAGAGAGAGAGAGAGAAACGAGTGTGGGAGAGAGAGAGAGGAAGGAACCCTCACTGTACTCCGCGTTCTGTGTACAGAGCTGTCGTATGTTTGAGTTTGCAGACTCTATAAAGCTTCGATGTCTCTTTTTAATGTCGGACGAAAAAAAATACAAGCCTATCATGATATTTAAATCATCTAACTGCGGTAATGTAAGTGTTTATGACCAAGCGTTCGCTCTATGATCCCATCCCGGCAGGAGAGAGGAGATCTCTGTGTGTAAACCAAAAGAAGGTGCAGACTATTTTCCTTTCTTTCATTTTTCTTTCCTTGTTTGACTGTAGGAACGAGAGATAATCGTTAAATGTTGTCGAATGTGATTGTCGTGTGTACAGACCGTTTCCTCTTATTTCTGACCATCATTATTGTATTCCTTTATGCAAATGAGATGGCTGATGTGTTGGGTTGGGGGGGGGGAAGCACTTTTTCCACTTTGTTGTTGGCCTTGCCTTTATCTCTGACCAATTCCCCTTTCTGTAGAGTGAGCGATCCAGCCGGTAGACGCTAAAATCATGTCGTAGACGCCTCTTCCTTCGTGCGCACCGTGTCTGTCCACTCAAAACAACTCATCTTTCTTTTTGTACAAGTACGACTTCGTCTCTCGCCTGTTTTCTATGATTTGGAGAACAAACGGGGTCGGTTTTATTATGTAACAGATCGTTTTAGAATGGTTTTAATATTTTGTATACTCACTCGTCGTCGTTTCAGTCTCCAAAAATCATTATTTTTTATGACAGAGGGTAAAATATTGCCAGAAATCTCACGGTAAATATCCATAGGTGAAAAAACGGCGGCCAAAATGCCTTCTCTCTTGTACATAACGTTTGTTTATTTAAAAGAGAGCTGGTGGATTAGTGGAAATAGAGATATATTCTTCTTATTTTTGTCTAATGCCCATTTTATACCAAACAGAGAACTCATTTATGTTTCATTATGACTGACTTTATTCAGTCAGCCTGTTTGGGGGGGAGTGGGGTTTGGGGGCTGAGTGTGAATATGTGGATGTTTGTGTCTATTTTAAGCTCCCCGGACAAAAAAAGATTATTTGGATGCATCATTTCTTCTCTAATATTCATTAATCTATATTTAAGCCAAATTCTGAGAATAACGCCTCCTTTGGTTACTGTTTTCCCTTCAAATCCACTCGATTTTAACCAAGAAAGCACCAGAGCCATTGATGAACTGATAAAGCGGAGAGTAAACGTTCCCAAAAGTGGACTTTTTAGAGCTGCTACGATGAAAATCTGTCAACTGTACCAAGTCATGTTAGAGTAATTCAGCTTTAATAGTTAGAATGTCTTAACTAAAGTGTTATTAACTAGGTAACTGCACTATATGTCCAAAAGTATCAGCTGCTTTTAAGCTTTACTCTCCATAGAAGAGCACTATGCCCACCATGCCCAGTGCCCAGCGTGGGCTAGAGGGGTATAAAGCCCCCCAGTATTGGGCTGTGGAGCAGTGGAGCTGTATTCTCTGGAGTGATGGAGCTCCATCCAATACCTTTGGGATGAGTTAGTGATCCAGAACTGACCACCCAACAAGAGTACCTGACCTCACTAATGCTCAATCAAATCCTCACAGCAATGTTCCAATGTTCTCGAAGCCTCCCAGAAGAGTAGAGGCTGTTACTGCAGCACAGACTCACTATTAACACCTTCATTTCAGAAGAAATCGACACTTTTGGACGTATAACTTACACTTAAAGTAATTTAGATCCTCTTTTCACTGTAAAATATCGTTAATTATTGCTTTTCTTTTTTTCTCCGTGTGCCGTTTTCCTGTTTATGCAGCCCTAATCATTGAAAACGTTTCCGTAGTGTGAGTTTGTGGCAGGGCAGACATATCGAAGACGTTTTTGTGAGCAAATTTCATGCTGACAGCTGATTATTTATGATTTTTGAAGTTATGCTGCTCCATTTTCTAAGCAGCGTGACGGAACCTTCAGAATCTCACAGAAGAGATTAATTCAAAAACAGACTTGCAGAACTGACAGAACAATTAATGCAATCTAAAGCATGTTTACGTTAAAGAAAGCAGGGCGGAGTTTTATACTGAGGAGGACCTCACAGCTGTGTCCAGCACTGCGCCCTGTCCACTGTGTAGTGCACTATTTTGGGTTCTACTGTTCTCTAACTGTGTCTCAAGAAACTGCTGTAATCCTACCTGACATTATTTACACTGTTATTCAAAAATTCCCCATAATTCAGTGTGTGAGGTGTAAACAGAGAGATTCAGAGTGGTTTGGTGTGAAATGGTTCAGATTTGTTTACAGTGGTGCTGATAGGAACCAGGGGTCGGATTCACAAACACGTTCCAAAGAAAAAAGTTCTGAAGGTTCTTAAGACAAGTTTGTAACAGTGGGCCTCGTTCTCCACTATCTTTATAAGTGTGTTCTTAAGTGTGTTGTTGTGAAAGGTCCTAAGAAAAAGTCTCCGTCAGATTCATGACATGTTCTTAAAGCGCAGAACTGTTCTCTCCTTTGTGCTCTTGAGTGTGTGTAGATTCTGTTCTTACCTAAGAACAAATCCCACATAAGAGAACATCAGAATCTTGGTGAAAACTGTGAGAAGAAGTTTCTTCTTTAGAACGGTGGGAGAACGAGGCCCAATGTTCTTAAATACAGTTCTCAAAAAAAACTTAAGAAGTTCTCAAATAATCTCTTAAGAAAGTTGTTATCGATTTTGTACGTACACACTTAAAGATGGTTCTTCAAGGGTTCTTTAGTTAAGGAAATGGTTCTATATAGAACCATGAACACTCAAAGAACCCTTTGCATGATTAATGGGTTCTTTGCATGGTGAAATGGTTCTTCAGATTGATGGAGAATTTGTTGTATATGGTTCTTTATCACACCAAAAAGGGTTCTGCTATGGTAACAAGCTTGACATTGTTACAATAGCAGAACCCTTTTGGGTGCCATATAGAACCCTTTCCAAAAAAGTTCTATATAGAACCATTTCCTTCACTAAAGAACCCTTGAAGAACCTTCTTTTTAAGAGTGTAGGCTGTAGGTAATGTCGTGTAGACTATCATGTTACTTTTTATTGATAACTGGAATTTATGTATTTATTTGTTTGGTGTTCCCTGTTAATTCGTACAGTCTGAGACTGTCATAAGGGTAAAAAATATTTAAGAAAATATTTCTTTCAGGAAAACCACACGTTCTTTTAATATGTAAGAGTTTAGAAAGAAATGAAGATTTTTTTTAAGTTTTTTGAAGAGTAATAACTCCTTTCTTAAGTGTGTAGTTGAGAAAAAAAGCACATTTAAGACGATTTTCACAAAATAACACAAATATAACCTTTATTTACTGTCAGAAACCACCAGTGAACCATTCTGAGTGTTTATAAGGAATGTCGATGGTAAAATAGTGGAAAATCTGAAATAATGTGTTTGTTTTAGGGACTATTTTGCCTGAATGTATCCCTCCGCCATGAATGAATGAATTAATTAATATGTGTATATTTTATTCCTAAACCTTTTCAAAACTATTGAAACGTCCAGGCGACTTATGAATTTGTTTACATCTTCGTTTTCAGCGAATTCAAGGCAAGAAAAGACCAAATATTAGAAAAGAAAAGAAAAGAGATGATGCATCTGTCCGGCGAGCTGACCAACCTGTTCATATTGATTTAATTTTCTGTATATGTTGGACGTCCCCCCAGAACATTTACCTGGATATTTTCAGACTAACATGGCAGTTGCATTGTTGTCATCATATTAAAATCTCACCGTCTCTTCCGCCAAGATGTTTTTATTTCTTTCCTTTCACGTGTGAAGAGGTTTTAAAGTGAACGGTCAATGCATTCCCTTTTATAGCTGCACTATAGTAATAAAAATAATAATAAAAATAATAATAATAATCACATTTTGAAGAGTTAGATTGTGTTAGGAACATTTACTGTGGGACTTAATAATAAAAAGCAGTATGTTACCTGTTGTAGTTCATTTCTTTTGCTCTTAGAAGTGTTTTTTTTTATTAATATTCAAAGCAAAAACAACAAAACATGCAGAGAGCTTTGATATTTCATTTGAATATGGCAGCTACAACATTAAGCTCACTGGCCTTAATAGGCCGAGAAGGGGGGGGCAAAGGAATTTTGAGAATTCTGCTTTAGCTCTGACCCAAATCATATGACTGAAATGCTGAATGATCTCCAGCTCTGAAGGCCTCACTGAGCAGCAGGCCTAGCATGAGGTGGGATTAGGTGGTCCTAGGTGTTCTGGTGGGCTTAATCTGGACGAGAAGAAACAGTGAATGGCTTAGTAAGAAGCTCTGAGGAGCAGCTACAGCTCAGGACACCCCAAAGTTCCTCCTAGCCTCACTGTAGGAGGAGCAGCAGCATCAGTGAGGGGGAGAGAGAGAAAAGCACCACGTCACTTCTGCCAAAGTTGGAGGGAGAGGAGCAGCTCGGCGCCTTCTTTGGTGAGATCTCGAGAAGATCAGCTTCGTGGAGAAGATGCAGACCGGATTTCGGTTCAACTTGAGCCCCGTGAAGGAGCCGCTGGGCTTCATAAAAATTGTGGAGTGGGTGAGTCGCTGCGGCGTAGTGGAACTTTCCGTTCCACCTTAAATGGCGCAGTAGTTTCGTTCTGGCGCCAGGCGTTAGAATGCAACTGCAGCGCCATTTAAGATGGAACGGAAAGTTTGAACTTCAACTTAGTGAAAAAGGCCTTGGATGGACTCATTTGTTTGTTTTACTGAAATGTCCATCAGATCATGTTTCCTGGCGGATCAATACGTCTTATTTTGAAGTATAGCTAGTTTTCAGCGCGGGTACCAACGCCCGCCTCGCGCTCACACGTCCTACTTTGCATTGTGTTGATATTATTGACTGCACTATATTAATCCACCACTTTTCTCAGACGTTTAACTGTCTCTGCCTTCCTTAACCTGCTTTAGACATCAAAGGTTCTAGCTGCTTTAATCTGGTTCCCTCCCAGATTTGCTTGCTCGGAGGAATTTGGTGTGTGGAAGGAACTCCAGTTACCAGCTCAGCTTTTCATGGCCACATTTAAAAAATGTGTATATTCACTCTTAAAACAGATGGTTCTTCAAGGGTTCTTTAGTAGAGGAACGGTTCTGTTTAGTACTTCTTTGAATGGTGAATTGGTTCTTCAGTTTGATGGAGAATTGTTCTACATAGCACCAGAGCACTTTTCAAAAAGGACACTTTTCATAAAGGTTCTGTAAAAAAGGATCTGGAAGGGTTCTTTAGTAAAGGCAATGGTTCTCTTTAGCCACTGCATGCTGAGAGGGTTCTCCAGATTGATAGAGAATGTGTTGTATGATTCTATACAGAACTTTTTGAAAGGCAGTGGTTCTGTTTAGTACTTCTTTGCGTGATGAAATCGTTCTTCAGATTGATGGGGAATGGTTCTACATAGCACCAAGAAGTGTTCTGCTATTGATACAAGCTTGAAAACAATAGCAGAACCCTTTTTGGTGCAATAGAACACTTTTCAAAAAGCTTCTATAAAAAAGTGATGTTCTTCAAGGGTTCTATTCTATTTAGCCACTGCATGCTGAAAGGGTTCTTTGCATGGTGAAATGGTTCTTAAGATTGATAGAATGTGTTGTATGATTCTATACAGAACCTTTTTGAAAAGTGTTCTATAGGACCAACAAGGGTTCAGCTATTGTTGTCAAGCTTGTATCAATAACAGAACCCTTTTCTTTATTAATCTGAAGAACCATTTCACCATGCAAAGAACCCTTTAAGCATGCAATGCCTAAACAGAACCATTGCCTTTACTCTTTTTTAAGTGTTTATACGTGTGTGTGTGTGTGTGTGTGTATATATATATATATATATATATACACACACACGCACATACATGGATAGATAGATAGAAAGAATAATGAATTGCCAAGTTAATGAGTCAGCAAGTCGGATGCATCCTGTGTGGAACTAAAACATCTGGCAGAAGTTTACTCTGCACAGCAGGCCTCAGTTCAGCTCACACAGGCGCTTTAAAACTGCCCACCAGATGTTCAACCTGAGCTCAGAATAGTTAAAACTGAACAAGCCCTTCAAAATGAATGATGTGCACTGAGTCGCCTTAAAGGGGAACTCCACTGATTTTTTCAAACTTCCTGCATGATTAACTGGTTAAGATGTAAACAGAGTGGTTTGGTGTGAAACGCTCCGTTCTAGATAAACTTACCGAGTCAGAACTGTTCACAGTGGTGGTGATAGGAACCAGACGTCCACCTCTAAAAGCTCCCTCACAGAAAGTTCCTACATGAAATGGTTATGAATTCACTGCCTGATGACTGAGACACTGTTTTATGATGGTTTAGAGAACTTAAACTCCATTCATGGTGGAGGGATACATGCAGGGCGCTGTGAGGCAAAATAGTCCCCAAAGAAAACTTATTATTTCAGATTTTCCACTATTTTCCATCATCAACATTCCATATAAACTCAGAAGACTCGTGTAGGTTCACTGGTGGTTCTGGATAGTAAATGTCTATATCTGTGTTGTAGTCATGGCGACCCCTGGTTCCTATCACCACCACTGTAAAGACATCTGAACCATTTCACACCAAACCACTCTGAATCACTCTGATTACATCTCACACACTGAATTATGGAGGAATTTTGGAAAATTGATGGAATTTCCCTTCAACTCAGTACTTGTAGGCAGTTCAGTGACCTGGATGGCTGGAAAATCTTCATGGACTTAATGTTATAGATTCTGAGGAAACAGTTTAAAGGACAGCTGAATCTTTGCGCAGTAGGAGTTGTAGGATGTAAAAACTGTTACAGTATTGAAAAAATATGGAAACTAAGCTGTCTATTTTTTATTCATCGTTTTTGTGATGTCACAAAAACCAACACAATTTAGGCACCTGAGAAGAACCTCCTAAAGAGCTCTTCACCTGGGCTGTTAGTGTTTATTTCAAAATCACACATATTACAATAATATCAGTACAGTAGGGGGTGATTTTAAATCTGTTAAAGTGTTTGTTTAATCATTTCCAGGCCTCTCCTCATAGCAGCCCAGTGTTAACTACAGTTATCACCCAGTACCTGGATCGATTCATCAACGCTTCATTAAATTACCTCAAACTTCTTGTTACTTTTTACTGTGTTTATGTTTATCTGCATTTATTCCAATGATAGCGTCACTCCCTTAACTTCGGCCGTCCCTCAGTTTCAGCCACTTCGCCATATTGTGTATTCTCTCTCTCTCCTCGCCATTCGCTGTGAGGAAATTCAAAAACCCGAGCTCTCGCCTCACTATACCTTTAGTAATGGTGGTTGTATATTGGTTCAATATCTCTGAGTCTCAAGTTGAAATGGTTCTTCAGATTGATGGAGAATGTGTTCTGCTGTCATAACAAGCTTGACATCATACACAATAGCAGAACACTTTTTGGTGCTGTATGGAACCATGCATAACACATTCTCCATCAGTCTGTAGAACCATTTCACTATTCAAAGAACCACTTAAGCACGCAAATTGTTCTTTGAGTGTTCATGGTTCCAGATACAACCGTTGTCTTTATGAAAGAACCGTTTTTAAGCTTTTTTAAGGTTGCAGGGCTGGGCAATATGAGTTTGGTTTGTCTGCTCTGGGCTGCTGTAGAAACATGGCGGTGCAGCACGGCGCCTCTGTTGAAGAGGAGCTGCTGTTGATATGAAGGGTCGTTCTAAGATAACGTAGTTACAGGTCATTATACAGTAATGAGAACGTGGGTCAGTTACTAAAGTCCATGTCTGATAATCTTACACGCAGCACCGTTAATGAGGGGTGAATGTTGGTCTCGTTCTTGTTAACGAGCTGTTTTGTGACTGTAAACGAGTCCCTCTGAAAAACTGGGCAGCTGGTTTCTTTCGTTCATTTTGACTGGTCAGTGTTGGTCATCGTGTTGGTGCTGGATCTGTTTTTTGTAACTAGCTCACAGCGATGTTCGCCTTTGGAAACTGCGGCGGATACTCCGGCAAGAACGTCATCTCCCTGTTCTGCGGTTCCGGCAGCAACGAAACTCTGGGTGCTACGTTTTCGTACCCATTCAGGTGGGTTTCCTTAATAACGTATTTATCATATATTCTCTAATTTTATATATCAGCCAATCAGCCAGAGCCAAGTCCACCTCCTTGTATCTACACTTACTGTGTCAGCTCCACTGACCATATAGCTTCACTTACAGACTGTAGTCCATCTGTTTCTCGGCATACTTTGTTACCCTGTTCTTCAGTGGTCAGGACCCCCATGGACCCTCACAGAGCAGGTACTATTTGGGTGGCGGATCATTCTCAGCACTGCAGTAACACTGACGTGGTGGTGGTGTGTTAGTGTGTGTTGCACTGGTCTGAGTGGATCAGACACAGCAGTGCTGCTGGAGTTTTTAAACCCCTCAGTGTCACTGCTGGACTGAGAATAGTCCACCAACCAAAAATATCCAGCCAACAGCGTCCTGTGGGCAGCGTCCTGTGACCACTGATGAAGGACTAGAGGATGACCAACACAAACTGTGCAGCAGCAGATGAGCTATCGTCTCTGACTTTACATCTACAAGGTGGACTGACAAGGTAGGAGTGTCTAATAGAGTGGACAGTGAGTGGACACAGTGTTTAAGAACTCCAGCAGCACTGCTGTGTCTGATCCACTCATACCAGCACAACACACACCACCACCACGTCAGTGTTGCTGCAGTGCTGAGAATGATCCACCACCCAAATAGTGCCTGCTCTGTGAGGGTCCATGGGGGTCCTGACCACTGAAGAACAGGGTAAAAGGGGGCTAACAAAGTATCAGAGAAACAGATGGACTACAGTTCAGATGGACAGATGGACGAAGTCCCACTTCGGCCCTGACATCAGCTTACAAGATCTCTGTATACATGGCTGTGTTGTCCCTGTATTTTGGTGATGGTGTGTTTTCAGTGAGCCCACGGTGAAAAAATTCAGTCAATAAAAACCTGATATGCAGAATGTCGTCTCTGACTTTACATCTACAAGGTGGAGCTAGGAGTGTCTAATAGAGTGGACAGTGAGTGGACAGGTTTCTCAGATTATTCTGATTTATTCTGATTTGTGGTTCTTCAGAATAAATATAAAGTTATTTATAACATAAAATAAAATAATAAATGACAGATCAATTAGGGATAAAATAATGAAAAGCTCAGATAATACAATAAATAAAAGAATAGAAGCAATGAAGAACAATAACTCAGCAGTAACTAAAAAGTAAAAGTTGGTAGTAAAGAAAAAGCACAGTGAGTGTAAAACAGTAACGAAAACATACCAAACAGTGAACTAAATCAAATAGAACTGGTGGAGGTGAATTCAGAAATCTGTATTTGGTTGTGTGTCTTCTTAAGACCCCCACTGTACACAAACAAGCTGTTAGTTCTGCTGGACTGGAGTTTGTTACAGAACTTTTTAAACGTGTATCATTCAGTAGTTTTAAATGTGTACAGTGGGACGGGGACTGTTAGTTACTGATACTGCTTATCGATACTGATACTGCTTATCGATACTGATACTACTCTCCATAATTTGGGGCAACAACCCAAAATGAAAAGGCTGAAAACATTAACAACCATAATCAATCTAATATTAGTTACCCCAGTTATCAGAACAGCTATCACAGATCAAACTCAGGCTATGTAGCCGTTAGCGATTTATGCTATGCTAGATGCTGAATTTTATTTCAGTACAAACTCAAAATATCCTGGAGTTTTATCTGTAAACATGCGCTACGGTAGATCATTTCAACAGGACAGCATGATCACAACACCGCGCGGCTGCGCTGAGGACGCGGGAGCAGCAGCCGCTGTGCTAAAGCTAACGCTGTGCTACAGCTAAAGCTGTGCTAAAGCAGTGTTAAAGCTAAAACTGTGCTAAAGCTAAAACTATGCTAAAGCTAACGCTGTGCTAAAGGTAAAGCAGTGCTAAAGCTAAAGCTGTGCTAAAGCTAAAACTGTGCTAAAGCTAACGCTGTGCTAAAGCTAAAACTGTGCTAAAGCTAAAACTGTGCTAATGCTAAAGCTAATGCTGTGCTAATGCTAACACGCAGCACTGCGTCAGATTTACAGGATGTTGTATTTGTCTCATGTATATATCTTAACACTTTATATACATGAGTGTTTAATTCAGTACTTATAAAGTATACATGTAAGTGCTATTAATATGGACGAGTATGCCATTTTACAAAGATACATTTTTCAAAATAAAAGTCCTCATTTTTTATTTTGAAAAAATATATTATTTTCAGTAAAATTCCTCGTTTCTGGACAGACAAAATAAAAATGACTTTAGTTTGGTGATGAAGTGCTTTGACACTCTCACCTTTACCTTCAGCTTCGTTTTAACGATTTGTTTTTGTTATGCATTTGTTGCTTTGCGTATCACTTTATGTGTATGGACAGTAAATTACTCATAAATATGCTATGAATGATCATTCGACTGAACCTTGGTGTGGTGGTGAGACTCACTGCACGAAGGAATTTTACAGGCCATAATACTCATCCGTTCCCTGTAGATGCTGGACAGTCACATGACTGCAGTTTAAAGACTCGCATAACATTTCAGTCTGGATAGGTTCCTCACTTTTGAGGTGAAGACAAAACAGAATTTATTAATCTTTGGGATAATAAAGCAACATTTAACCTCGGACAGTGTCAATTAATCAATGCACAATTATCTGATCAGCTCTCTCACAATAGAAACAAATGACAATGTCATTTTTGGCCAATTTGACAGCAAAAATGCTTATCAGACAATTTACAGCACACATCACATACACACACATCATCTAAACCGCTTATCCTTCTGGGTCACGGTGGGGTGCTGGAGCCTATCCCAGCTGTCATTGGGTGGAAGGCAGGATACACCCTGGACAGGTCGCCAGTCCATCACAGGGCAGACAGACAGACATACACATTCACACACACACATTCACACCTGGGGCAATTCAGCATGTCCAATCAGCCTGACTGCATGTTTTTGGACTGTGGGAGGAAACCGGAGTACCCGGAGGAAACCCACGCAGACACAGGGAGAACAGGCAAACTCCACACAGAAACGACCCTGGCCGCCTGGCCAGGCTACCCACTGTGCCACCATGCTGCCCCCAATTTATATTGGATAATTGTATAATTTATAGCATTAACTGTAAAATAATATATCAGTTTGCAGTTCCTCAACTCATACTGACCTCGTTTTCAACTAGTCCTTAATTTACAACAGCAGAGTTCCTGAAATTCACTTATGGCTTTTGGTTTTGGTGCCACTTCAAGATTTTCAGTGACTCCATTAGGAAAAACCTCAGGGGCTTCACCGGCGCGTTGTGATGTTATTTATCACCATAATAATGCTGACCCTGCAGTTCTGTAGCTTCTATCAGATTCTGAGTGTTTATTTTTGGGCGTGATGACATCATCGTTTCTGCACTGCACTGTTCCGCAGGTTAAACAAGGTGCGCCTGGTTGTAGAGAACACCACTCTGTGTAACCAGACGGTGTCCGAGACGCACCTGGTGGGCGACGCTTCGTCCGCGGCCGAGTTTTTCGTGGCCGTTGCCGTCCTGGCGTTCCTCTACTGCATGGCGGCTCTGCTGGTTTACGTCGGCTACATGCACGTTTACCGGAACTCAGACTTTGGCCCAATGTTCGTGAGTATACAAGCATCCTGATGTTATTCTAATATTAATAATAATAGCTATTCTTAATGCTTTTTGATACTTTTCCTGTTTTCCTAAGTAGCCTGGACCGTAGCTTTGTATTTCTGCTCCATTTTCCTTTTAACAAAATTGCACAAAAACATGCAAGAAAGTCATTCGTGTTCTGATACGATAATACAGTATGAGGAAACTTGTATGCAAAAGTTTTGGCACCCCTGGCCAAATTACAGATTTGGTTGATCTTTGAAGTGAAAGAAAAGGAAACAATTGAAAACTCAGTGTTGCATTTGCAAAAGTTTGGACACCCTTCCAGCTGTAAAGTCTGAGATCTTAATTAACTTCTTACGCCTTAATTTGCTCGTTGGGCCTTAATTGACTCGTTAGCACTGGTGAGGAACTCACCTGATGATAATTCCGGAGTGTAATAAATCCTCTGACTAACCAGGATCTCCTCCAAGCAGCTGCTGAGGGTCTGAAAATGAATCTAACTGATGCCTTCAAAGCAGGAGAAGATTATAAAGATATAAAAGTGCCTCCAGGCCGCAGTGTCCACTGTCTGAAATGTTAAATTAGCCTTAGCTATTTAGATAACAAACAAAAAAATAACATCACCCTAAATGTGTTAAAGCGCCAGATAAAAGTTGGAACTTGTGTTGTTTCTGTAAAACCCGTGACTTCAGTTCGTTATTTTTCTTTTTTTTTAAAAAGTTGTTTCAACTGGACTGAAGAAGAAACATCCTTTTCACATTCTGAGTGTTGTAATATTACATGAAAAATAACAAAACAAACAAATAATAATAACAATAATAATAATAATAATAATGACAGATATAGTACTTTAAGTATTCCCTGTATACTTAAAAAAGATAAAGATAAAAAAAGAGAGTTCTTCAAGGATTCTTTAGTCAAGGCAATGGTTCTACATAGAACCATGAGTTCTTCAGATTGATGGAGAATGTGTTGTATGTGTTTCTATATAGAACCTTTTTGAAAATGTTTCTATTATAGCACCAGAAAGGGTTTTGTTATTGTGATGATGTCAAGCTTGTAACGATAGAAGAACCTTTTTTGGTGCTATATAGAACCATATACAGCACATTCTCCATCAATCTGAAGAACAATTTCACCATGTAAAGAACCATGTAAGCATGCAAATGGTTCAGTATAGAACTCACGGTTCTAAACTGTGGGTGCTTCTCTTTCACAAGGCTGTTCTTGTTTTAATGCAGTCCATATATTAAATATATTGGGATGATGAAGTTTAATTGGGCACCTCAGTGAAAGTAAAAGGCTGTTTTTGTTTTATTCGGCAGGATTTCGTGGTGACGGGTGCGTTTGTGTTCATGTGGCTGGTGTGTTCGTCGGCCTGGGCGCGAGGGCTGCTGCTGGTGAAGTATACCACGGGCACAGAGGGCATCGTCTTCACTCTGCTGCCATGCAGGGAGGGCAGCATCACCTGTGAGGTCACCGAGTTTGCCAGCATGCGCACACTTAACATATCAGTGGTAAGAATGATGACCGATTCTCCTACTGAAGAGTCCTCAGTTGTATAATTGTATTTTTTACACTGAATATCACAGTGAGTAATGTTATTTTTTACAACCCCATTTCCAAAAAAGTCGGGACGCTGTGCAAAATGTAAATAAAAACAAAAGGCAATGACATACAAATCATTTAACCCGTATATTTCATTGAAAGTAGTACAAAGACAACATATCAAATGTTGAAACTGAGAAATTTTATTGTTTTTTGAAAAATATTTGCCCATTTTGAATTTGATGCCAACAACACGTTCCAAAAAAGTTGGGATGGGGCAACAAAAGATTGGTAGTTGTGTAATTCTAAAAAAAACACCTGGTAGTTGACTGACCACAAATCAGAACATAATTAGGTACAAAAGAGCATCTCAGAGAGGCAGAGTCTTTCAGAAGTAAAGATGGGAAGGCCAAAAACCACTATTTGCTGGCTGTGATCTTTGGGCCCTCAGGCAGCACTGCATTAAAAACAGACATGATTCTGTAGAAGAAATCACTGCATGGGCTCAGAAACACTTCTGAAAACCACTGTCTGTGAAAACGGTTCATCACTTCTTCCACAAATGCAAGTTAAAACTCTAAAACATAAAGAAGAAATCATATATGAACAGGATCCAGAAACGCTGCCACCTTCTCTGGGCCTGAGCTCATTTAAAATGGACTGAGGTGAAGTGGAAAAGTGTCCTGTGGACGAATCAACATTTGAAATTCTTTTTGGAAATCATGGACACTGTGTCCTCCAGGCTGAAGACCACTCAGCTTGTTATCAGTGCACAGTTCAAAAGCCGGTATTCATGATGGTATAGGGGGCATTAGTGCACATGGCATGGGTGACATGCACATCTGTGAAGGCACCATTAATGCTGAACGGTATATACATGTTTTAGCAACATATGCTGCCATCCAGACGACGTCTTTTACAGGCAAGGTCTTGATTATTTCAGCAAGATGATGTAAAACCACATTCTGCATGTATTACAGCAGCATTGCTCCATATTAAAAGAGTCTGGGTGCTAAACTGACCAGCCTGCAGTCCAGACCTGTCACCACTGAAAACATTTGGCGCTTTATGAAATGAAAAATATGACAAAGGAGCCCCTGAACTGATGAGCAGCTGAAATCCTGTATCAAACAAGAACAGAAAACATTTCACTTTCTAAACTACAGCAGCGTCTCCTCAGTTCCCAAACACTTACAGAGTGTAGTTAAAGAAGAGGTGGTGAAACACAGTGGTAAACAGGCCCCCGTCCCAACTTTTTTGGAACGTGTTGTTGGCATCAAATTCAAAATGGGCAAATATTTTTCACAAACAATAAAATTTCTCAGTTTCAACATTTTATATGTTGTCTTTGTAGTATTTTCCTTTAAAAATATGGTTTACATGATTAACATATCATTGCATTCTATTTTTATTTACATTCTGCACAGCATCCCAACTTTTTTGAAAACGGGGTTGTACATCGACATTGTTCCAAAGTTGAATTCTACCAACTTGTCAAAAAAATTCAGTGTGTGAGATGTACCCAGAGAGATTCATTTACATTTTTACATTACAAGTTACAAAAAGTGCTTCGTCTATCTAGAGTCCATGTTGATACAGAGAAAAGAAATAGAGGTAAACACAGCAATACATTACAATACATTTCAATCAGTGCAGCACAATACATTACAATGAATACGAAACTCAGTGCTCATTTAAATGCTGTATAAAGAGACGGTCTTCAGTCTGCGTTTGAAGACGGCGAGAGACTCTGCTGTTCGGACAGCCAGTGGGAGTTCGTTCCACCGTCTGGGCTCTAGGACAGAGAAAAGTCTTGACGCTTTTCTTCCGCGCGTCTTGAAGGATGGTGGGTCAAGCCGAGCTGTACTCGAAGCTCAAAGGGCTCGTGGTACAGTTCGAGTTTCGACCATTGCCATCAAGTAGGAAGGGGCTGGTCCGTTTTTGGCTTTGTAGGCATCAAGGTTTTAAATCTAATGCATGCGGCTACAGGAAGCCAGTAAAGGGAGCGCAGCAGTGGGGTGACGTGGCTGAACTTAGGGAGAATCAGAGTGGTTTGGTGTGAAATGGTTCAGATGTCTTTACAGTGGAGGTGATAGGAACCAGGGGTCGCCATGACTACAACACAGATATAGACATTTTATTTACTATCCAGAACCACCAGTGAACCTACACGAGTCTTCTGAGTTTATATGGAATGTTGATGATGGAAAATAGTGGAAAATCTGAAATAATAAGTTTTCTTTGGGGACTATTTTGCCTCACAGCGCCCTGCATGTATCCCTCCACCATGAATGGAGTTTAAGTTCTCTAAACTATCATAAAACAGTGTCTCAGTCATCAGGCAGTGAATTCATAACCATTTCATGTAGGAACTTTCTGTGAGGGAGCTTTTAGAGGGGGACGTCTGGTTCCTATCACCACCACTGTGAACAGTTCTGATGTCTGTGCTTGTAGACACTGACCAACTGCATGTTTCATTATAAAGAGAGCAAAATTAGTCCTGTTCAACTGTATTTAGTGACAAATATTGACTAAAAATCACAGTTTTGATAGTATTTTTTAAAATGTAGCACTGTTGGTTCTTTTTTCTCTGTTCCAACTGATCAGATGTCTGAACAAATAAATATCATGATATATTGTGTTTCATGAAAAATTCTAGTATTGTGTTATTATATTTGCGCCATATCGCACAGCTCTAGCTATTCCACAATTTTAGAACAAGAGCATTTTTTTCACCTTCCGTACTTCTTATGTGCCTTGTGTGTAAAAGCTGGACGTTGATCTCAGTCAGCTTCCATTCATCACTTGTTTGTGAACATTTCTCGAGGGCTGTTTGTGGTTTAAAACTGCTTTGCATAAAAACGGTGTCCTCTGTTTTATTCACGGCAGACTGCATTTATAGCTGTGCATGTGTTTTGTGTATGAAGACACATCTGTGTGGATGTTTATGACTTTCAGTTGACTTTTTTTTGGCTATATTTTGAACATTTACTCAGCCTCTCCTTTATACTCTAAAAATGATGCATCACCTCTTTTATCACTTTTTTGTCATCTTTTCTTTGATCGACTTTGTACACATCTCAACCATTTAATTATGCAGAACTTTCGAAAAGTTGGTGGAATTCCCCTTTAACGGCTCTGGACATTACCAGGTTCTTATGTGTGTTCCTGTGCAGGTGTTCGGCTTCCTGAACATGATCGTGTGGGCTGGAAACGCCTGGTTTGTTTATAAGGAGACAAGCTGGCACTCGCAGAAGGTCAACTCTCAACAAGCAGCGAGCCGTAGTCCAGGCCCCGCCCCCATCTAGACGTGTCTCCTAGGCAACCGCCTCATCACTCCCATCCACAACTACAAGGAAAAGTCTTGTGTTCCACAGGTGACCTGTGAAGGCAGCGTGAGGAACCTTTCTGAAGCCATATTCGCTCTTCTCCACTCTTTCGCTTTAGGGCTGATTTGTTGACAGGCAGATCAGCTGAATGGCTGAATGTGTTTATTATTTTGTTTTAAGCAGCAGGAAACAAAAGACATCAGCTTTATCTGCTCTTTACCCAAAGCTCACTCTTTACAGGCCAAATGAAGCCACTGATTTGAAACACGTAGGCCGGTCAGTACAGCGCGAAGGTTTTAGGCACCTGAGAATATTTGAAAAAGCTGTTTATCTGCTCAGTAAACTTTCATTTGTTCAGGAAAATACTAACAATATAAGAAATATAAATAACATTAATAAGTAGGGTGTTGGTGTCACATTTCTCCCTCTCTCCTCGAGGAAGCTCAGTGTTATTTGTAGTTATCATCCAATACCTGCCTATTCTAATCAACAGTGTTGTAGTCATATATATATATATATATATCTATATATATATATATATATATATGTATATATTTATATATAAAGTATTATTATATTATAGCCTTAGACTTGGTAATTCTCTTAGGTTACTGGTGATGTTATTATCTGCTCCTTTCTTCTCTAAAACCTTTTCAGAATCACCACCAAGTCAAATGGACATAAACTAAATTTACGATCTTGAGACCAGACTTGAAGATTACAGCACTACTAATCAATACTTTATTATGTTACATCAGGAGCTGCTGATGGAATTTAATGAATCGATATGATGCAGGCAGAAAAATCTAGAACCAAACTGTGTTCGTCAATCTACACTCTTTATTACATCTAAACACAGTGACTATGAATCAAAACACAGTGACTAAGAATCAAAACACAATGAATACGAATCTAAACACAGGGAATACGAATCTGAACACAGTGACTACGAATCTAAACACAGTTAATACGAATCTAAACACAGTGACTACGAATCTAAACACAGTGACTACGAATCAAAACACAGTGACTACGAATCAAAACACAGTGACTACGAATCTGAACACAGTGACTACGAATCTGAACACAGTGACTACGAATCTGAACACAGTGAATACAAATATAAACACAGTGAATACAAATCTGAACACAGTGACTACGAATCAAAACACAGGGAATACGAATCTAAACACAGTTAATACGAATCTAAACACAGTGAATACGAATCTGAACACAGTGAATACAAATCTGAACACAGTGAAGATGAATCTAAACAGTGAATACAAATCTAAACTCAGTGACTACGAATCTAAACACAGTGACTACGAATCTAAACACAGTGACTATGAATCAAAACACAGTGACTACGAATCAAAACACAGTTAATACGAATCTAAACACAGTTAATACGAATCTAAACACAGTGACTACTAATCTAAACACAGTTAATACGAATCAAAACACAGTGACTACGAATCAAAACACAGTGACTACGAATCAAAACACAGTGACTAAGAATCAAAACACAATGAATACGAATCTAAACACAATGAATACGAATCTGAACACAGTGACTACGAATCTAAACACAGTTAATACGAATCTAAACACAGTGACTACGAATCTAAACACAGTGACTACGAATCAAAACACAGTGACTACGAATCAAAACACAGTGACTACGAATCTGAACACAGTGACTACGAATATAAACACAGTGAATACAAATCTGAACACAGTGACTACGAATCAAAACACAGGGAATACGAATCTAAACAGTGAATACGAATCTAAACACAGTGAATACGAATCTGAACACAGTGAATACAAATCTGAACACAGTGAAGATGAATCTAAACAGTGAATACAAATCTAAACACAGTGAATATGAATCTGAACACAGTGAATATGAATCTAAACAGTGAATATGAATCTAAACACAGTGAAGATGAATCTAAACACAGTGACTACGAATCTAAACACAGTGACTACGAATCAAAACACTGAAGATGAATCTAAACAGTGAATACGAATCTAAACACAGTGAATACGAATCAAAACACTGAAGATGAATCTAAACCGTGAATACGAATCTAAACACAGTGAATATGAATCTAAACACAGTGACTACGAATCAAAACACTGAAGATGAATCTAAACAGTGAATACGAATCTAAACACAGTGAATACGAATCTAAACACAGTGAATATTAAATTATAAACGAAGTAAATATGAATCTAAACAGTGAATATGAATCTAAACACGGTGAATATTAAATTCTAAACGCAGAAAATATTAAACTAAATGAGGCAAATCTGAATCTAAATGCAGCGAAAATGAATCTAAACAAAACTAATGTGAATCTAAACACTAAACATACTGGCAAGATAAACAGTTTTAAACGGTGTGTTTAGGTGCCTCAGACTTTTGCTTTGTACTCTGTCGTCACTGTCAGACAAAAACTGCGAACTTTACATCAGAAGAAAAAACTTTCTTGTATTTCACTGTGAGTTAGTGTAAAAAGAGACAACGTAAAGGGCAGCTGGTGATTTCCAATGAGGTCAAAAAATGAGAAGTGTGAAGATCTAAGATTTTGTTCCTACAGTGATGATATGATCATGTTTCATGTACTTTTTGTTAGCCACAGTCGCTACGAGCAACAAAGTAAGAGCAGCAGACGTTACGTAGCTGGCTGACGTTATTTCCGTTACAAAACCGCAGCACCTATCGGTCAGAATAAAAATAAACCCCATTTCCCAAACGGCCCATTTCCAGGTGGTTGTTAGGAGTACATTTTCTCAGATTCCGATCTTGCACTGCTATTCCTAGGGTTGGGCAATATGACATTATATATCATTATCGTGATAAATTATTTCACAATACACTTTTCTAAACATCCTGTATATCGTCAGTGCTTGTAGACACAGAACAACTGCATGTTTCATTGTAAAGAGAGCAAAATTAGTCCTTTACTGCCAAATATTAAATAAAAAATTAGTTTTTGATAGTATTTTTAAAAAATGTAGCACTTCTGTTTCTTTTTACTCTGTTCCAACTGATCAGATGTCTGAACAAATAAGTATTGTGATATATCGTGTATTGAGAAAATGTCTAGTATTGCGATATTATATTTTTGCCATATCGTCCAGCTCTAGCTATTCCACAATTTCAGAATGAGAGCAAATGTAAATTTGCCCACTTCTTATGTGCCTTATGTGCCTAAAAGCTGGACGCTGATGTCAGTCAGCTTCCGTTCATCACTAGTTTGTGAACATGTCTCTAGTGCGGTTTGAAGTTTGTAAAACTGAAAATTGTGTCCTTTGTTTTATTCACGCTATATTTTTGTGTATTAGACTTCATTTATAGCTGTGCATGTGTTTTATGTATGAACACCACTTTTACACATCTGTGTGGATGTTTATGACTTTCAGTTGATTTTTTTTATCTTGAATATTTACTCAGCCTCTCCTTTACACTCTAAAAGTGATGTGTTAAATAACCACACATTTTACTTGTTTTACCCCTTTTAACACTTTTTGTGTCATATTGTTTCTGATTTAACATGTTCTGTGTTAAAGCAACATAAAATGTGTTATTTCTGTAACCAGGCACAGAAATATTACAACATATTTTGTGTTAAAAGTGACTGAAAATGCGTCTCCAACTGAACACACTTCTAGGTCTAGTTCAGGGTTTGGCAACATGCGGCTCTTTTACTGTCCTGTTGTGGCTCCACAGCAGAATCAGATTATTAGGTAAAAATAAAATAATCCTCCTTTACAGTAAAATAAAGCTCTGCTGATCGTTCAACACAGTTTAACAATAAATGGTCTTAAACTCTGGAGTTAATGTAGAACTGCTAATTCACCCTTTAACCCTGAAGATCAGCGCAGACTGCTGGTCACTATAGCAACAGAGACAACAATCTCGTCTAGCTAGTAGCTAACGAAACGGCAAAGAGAGAGATTTAAGATGAACATTGATAATTTAGAGATAAATGGACTGATTAGTGTTTATAATCACTCCAGCTGGTTTCCTGATACATTTAATCTGCGGCGAGAAACTGACAAACACTGAAAATCTGCGAAGCTGAAGTCAGTTTCTCATTCGCCAGAACGGAAAAACTCGAACAAGAAGCTGGCGAATGAGAAGCAACTTCAGCCTCGTAAGAAGTCAAACGTTAAGAGACGTTTTACAAGAAACTGTTCTATTTTTGTGGAAAAATTTCCTGCCAGAGATGCGAGAAAAGCGGCTATAGCTGAGCTAAAGCTTAAAGCAAAGCAAAGTAAGTCTGAGTTTTCGTTTATATTATATTTTTAGTCTATCACTACTGACAGAACAAAACCGTATGTTTCCAAAATAATAACTTTACAGGAGAGAGAAAAACATACTTTACTTTTAATGTAAGTCAGTGGAACCAGACGTTCTTCCAAGTCATTTTGGGTCGTTTCTTTTGGTCCATTCTTTGTAAAATTTGCACACAATGTAAAGAACAACAGGCATTTTCAGATTATGTCAAAAACTGAAAAACAATAAAATTGGAGGTACGAGGTTTTGTTCCAACAGCAGCGACATATTAGCACATCAGCACATACTGAGACAGATTTACAGCCAAGATGGTAAAATGGTTATGAAGTGTTGTGGTTTGATTTTTGTTGAAAGGACAAAATGGCTCTTCTAAACGTTCAGGTTTCGACCCCTGATCTAGTAAAGAGACCGAATGCCTTTTTAACACATCAGTTTTAGAGTGTAAAGGTTTTTATGTGAATTATTGTATCTCTATCATTTTTTTACCAATATTATTTTTTTAGTTTGTATTTTTTTCTGATCTGATTTGTAACCTTTCATTATTGACTTGTGTTGAGTCCAAAGCATCACAAGCCTCCGCCTACAAGGTACAAAACTGTTAAGCAGGTGTTTTGTTTTATGATCATGTACAGCATTTTGAATTTTGTGCAAGGTGCAAACGTTCTTAGTCGATTTTAGTTGTTTGTCTGTTGTTGTAAACTCTTAAAAAGATGCTTCAAGAGTTCTTTAGTGAAGAAAATGGTTCTATATAGAACCATACTCACTCAAAGAACCCTTTGCATGATTAAAGGGTTCTTTGCATCATGAAATGGTTCTTCAGACTGATGGAATGTGCTGTAGATGGTTCTATATAGAACCTTTTTGACATTGGGTCTATATAGCACCCAAAAGGATTCTTCTATTGTTACGATGTCAACCTTGTAACGATAGAAAACCTCTTTCAGGTGCTTTATAGAACCATCTATAGCACATTGATGCACATTTTCTATCAATCTGAAGAACCTTTTCATGATTTAATCATGCAAAGGGTTCTTTGAGTGTTCGTGGTTCTATATAGAGCCATTTTCTTTACTAAAGAACCCTTGAAGCACCATCTTTTTTAAGAGTCTAGCTTCGCTTCCAGAATTTCTACACACATCTTATCAGACGTTTCTCTTTTTTGCACTAAGACGTGTTTTTGTTGTTTGTTTGGAAATAAAGATGAGAGACTGAAGCACATTTTATGAGTCAGCTCTGCTGTTTTCTCACATGGTCTCTCTTTGTGCGGCTCTGAGAGGAGGAGAGATGTTTCTTCCCCCAAATAAATGTGGACCACCTCTGTGGATAATGCAGCTTTTGTGTGCCTGATCGTCCTGTGACTTCACTGATTGCCGTTTGTCTGGAGAACAAACAAAACATTATGTTTCAGAAAAGGCCCTAATATTCCAGCGAGGGAGCGGCTTTATATCCAAAACTCTCTCAGCGCTCTGATAATAACCTAAACGCCATTTAAGCTCCGGTTATTCTTTAATATGCCTGATCTTTTACCCTGATGGGAGATCATAATCAATCAATCAATCAATCGATCTTTATTTAACCTCAGAAAACACTGAGGGTGACCCTCATTCACAATGTTGCCAAGCTGATACAGGAAAAAGGGACTGATCTTGTGTAAGAACATATCAAATAATAATAGTTAATATTAACAATAAAATACATAAAAACAGTAGAAAATATAAAACAATAATTAAAGCGTGACTAAAATGTAAAAGTTAATAAAAATGTATCTCAAAAGTAGAGGATAAGAACAAAAAGGAAACTAAAATTAATTAAAATGACAAATAATAATAAAATAATCAGAATTAAAACAAGAATAAGAATATGAATAATAATAAACAAATGCATAAATGGGAAAAAAATAAAATAACTAAAATAATGAAAATAAGACAATGATAGTGAGAATCAGGTAAAACAGTGTGAGGCAGAGTGGAGGTGGTTAGTGAATAAGAGTTTAAAATGACCGAGTGACCCAGTGAGGGTCCAGCTCACTGGTGCTGTAACTAAAGGCAGATTTTCCCAGTTCAGTAAAAACTCACGGTACCTGGCATGTGACCCAACCACTGGAGCAAGTCTGATAAATACCATTAATTACAGACATCACTGAAGCCTAGAGAGCTGCATAAACTGCATCTTTTACTACAGGACTGGCCTTTTATACAACAGAGCCAGTCACTTACTGACCTTTAAGTAAGTTAACTAAATGAAACTAAACTGATTTAGTCCCCATGTTCGTAGGTATTAAAGCCTAATAGTTAATATTAGCTCTCCTGCTGCTGTTTTCCTTATTTATTTTCTATTTTATTTATTTTTATATTATTTTAATCATGTATAATGAATGTCGACGAGTACCAAGTTATGAACTTCTACATTCAACTCAGTAATTAGTGGTTGTGTTGTAAATTGAGCTTTGCTGCCACCCAGTGACCACTTATAAAAAGACACCCAAATTAGATCATAATTAAAACGCGATTGATCAGGCTGCCTCGGTCACTGAGAGAGACGATTTACTCTCTGGGCTCCAGAGAATGATAATAATAATAATGATAATAATAATAACAATAATAATAATAATAATAATAATAATAATAGTGTCCATTTCTATTTTCTTTATTATTAATGATGAGAACTGATGTCCAACTGAATTTCAATTCTATTTTATTCTATGAGATATTACAGTTAATATTTATAGCACTAACACTATTAATAGCAATGACAATGAACATCATGAAAACAGTTATTATTTCTATTAGAAGGGGAAAACGATGTTCATTTGCTGTAAATATAAATCATATATAGGAGTTCATCACTTACAGGAGATAAACTGGAACAGCAGACAGTTCTGATTATCTAGCACACAAAAGAACAGCTTTAAAATGGCAATCTTACCCCACTATCGGGAAAAAACCCTACCTGTGGTAAGAAGCCCCCTTACCTGTGGTAAGAAGCCCCCTTACCTGGGGTAAGAAGCCACCTTACCTGGGGTAAGAAGCCCCCTCACCTGGGGTAAGAAGCCCTCCCATCTGAAGTATGAAGTCCCACTACCTAAGGTAAGAAGCCTTCCTACCTGGAGTAAGAAGCCCCCTCACTTGGAGTATGAAGCCCCCCTACCTGAGGTAAGAAGCCCCCTTACCAGGGGTAGGAAGCCCCCCTACCTGGGGTAAGAAGTCCCCTCATCTGAAATATAAAGTCCCACTACCTAAGGTAAGAAGCCCTCCTAGTTGGAGTATGAAGTCCCTCTATTCAGAGTAAGAAGCCCCCCTACCTGAGGGGGTGAATGTAACTTCACCCTGGGGGGTTTCTTCACCCAAGTTACCCTAATAGTACATAATACGGCTATTTAAAAATAAAATGGTACTGCTACTACTACTAATAATAATATGTTGTGAAAATAATAATAATAATAATAATAATAATAAATAATAATAATAATTATTATTATTATTATTATTATTATTATTATTATTATTATTGTTGTTGTTAGTATTATTATCAGTAGTATTAGCAGTATTAATGGTAGTAGTAGCAGTATTACTGGGTTATATACTAGTAATAATAACTAGTGAGAAACCTGGTCTTAAACCTTTCTGCGGAAAGAAAGAATTGATAAACGAGATAAAATGAACAGAATATAAATATAATAATAATAAGGCCAAAATAACTACGAACAGCCGAATGTACTGTATGTTGCCGTCTTACCGTAATGTTATGTGGTGTCTTATGTGCAGAGTCTGTTTATCCTCCGTCCTTAAAGTGGCCCTATCGACTCTGGGTCCCTCACCGAACCGCGACACGACGCTGAAGAAAACGTGAGCCGTCGGAACCGGACTGACCGCCTCCGGGCTCCGCTCTCTCCTCTCTACCCGCCTCTCCTCGACTCTCTTCGGGAAGGAGCCGAAGCCCGCTGAGCCGAGCCGAGCCGAGCCGAGGGTGACGTCACGCGCACTCCCCCCCGCCCACTCCCGTCGCGCTGAAAAAAGCAAATCAACAAGAAGGAAGAGCAATGGCGACACTGGCTCGCCAACAGCCCAGCCTGGACAGCGCTACGTTCTCGCCCGGATCGCGGTCTCCTCTCACCGACGCAGCGGAATCACAGCCGGCGGACGGTAAGTGGGCACCGTCGCTTCCGTTCGCGCCGTTTCTCGGCCATTTCGCACTTGTTGTCCGCCAGCGTTTCTCAACCGAGATTGCGCTAAACTAGCTAAGGGTGTCCTCCGCGCATCTTTGGGGCTGAAATAGATCAATAAATTGATCAATACTGCTGAGGACACTAGGCAGACCGTCTCCGTCAGCGACTCGGGGACAATTTTCGGAAAACAATCCGCTCGTTTCTGCCCGCGGACGGCTGCGATAGTTGGTTTGTTATCCGCCAGCTTCTGGTTCGCATTTTCCGTTCCACCTTAAACGCTGCAGCAGTTACATACTGGCGCCTGCACATTTAAGGTGGAACGGAAAATGAAATGCGAGTCAGAACTTCGGCTTGAGCTGCTATCGCGCTCTCACTTTCTCAACCGATGTGCACGTCGAGTGACACGATGTACGTTAAAGGGCAGCTCCACCAATTTTTCAAAAGTTCCACATAATTGAGTGGTTAAGATGTAAACAGAGCCGTTCAGAGAGGTTTGAAGTGAAACGCTCTGCTCTAGATAAACTTACCGAGTCAGAACTGTTCACAGTGGTGGTGATAGGAACCAGACGTCCACCTCTAAAAGCTCCCTCACAGAAAGTTCCTACATGAAATGGTTATGAATTCACTGCCTGATGACTGAGACACTGTTTTATGATAGTTTTGAGAATTTAAACTCCATTCATGGTGGAGGGATACATGCAGGGCGCTGTGAGGCAAAATAGTCCCCAAAGAAAACTTATTATTTCAGATTTTCCACTATTTTCCATCATCAACATTCCATATAAACTCAGAAGACTCGTGTAGGTTCACTGGTGGTTCTGGATAGCAAATAATTATATTTGTGTTGTGGTCATGGCGACCCCTGGTTCCTATCACCACCACTGTAAAGACATCTGAACCATTTCACACCAAACCACTCTGAATCTCTCACGTCTCAAACGCTAAATTATGGAGGAATTTTGAAAGATCGGTGGAGGTCCCCTTTCACTGTTCGCTACTAGTAACTGCAGTTGCGCGTCTCCTGCTACTCCTGTCCTCTCAGGAAAGAAACAAACAGCTCTTAAGTTTCTTTTTTGGTTGTTTTTGACTGAAAATGCTGATCTCGGACGCTGAAAGGCGGGCAGGTGCAGAAGCTGAGTCTGCCATGCTGGTGGGCGTTTCTGCTGCTCCTGTCACGCCGCGTTAGCCGTTAGCCGAGCTGCTGCTGCTTTTCCTCAGCGAGGAAATAAATAACTAGCCGTTAGCCGTTAGCATCCGTCCTCAGAAGTTCACACAGCGCAGCTTGGGTTCACTTTTGAGTTCTGAATTTGATGGAAAGTAACAAAACTCGCATTCACGTCGAGCAGAAAGCCCAAACCAGCCCACTTTACCTCAGTTTTTACCTCAGGTTTTGTGTGAAAAGTGTGTGCGTGCTAATTTGCTAACGCGTGAAACGGAACGGTCGCCCGTCAAAGGGCAATTCCACAAATTTTCTAAATTTCACCATAATTGAATAGTTAAGATGAAAACAAAGTCGTTCAGAGTGGTTTGGTGTGAAATTCTCTGTTCTAGAGAAACTCTCCGAGTCAGAACTGTTCACAGTGGTGGTGACAGGAACCAGACGTCTATTGTACAGTAACTTTTGCTTCATGTTTATTTTCAGATTTATCAAGGAAAAATGAGGAAAAATAAAAGACAAAGATAATGAAGGAAAAGGAAGAATGAAAGAAACACAGAAGAGATGAAAAAGAGGCAAATAAGAATATAATAATAATAATAATAATAATACCAAAATGATTACATTCAGCTAAAAGGACTGCATGTTCACATTTTATCGTTTATGCACAGAAGCTGTTTATCTCTCTCTTCTGTCCTTAATGGGGAATTCCACCAATTTTTCGAAATTCCTCCCTAATTTATTGGTTGAGACGTAAACAGAGTGGTTTGGTGTGAAATGGTTCAGATGTCTTTACAGTGGTGGTGATAGGAACCAGGGGTCGCCATGACTACAACACAGATATAGACATTTTATTTACTATCCAGAACCACCAGTGAACCTACACGAGTCTTCTGAGTTTATATGGAATGTTGATGATGGGAAATAGTGGAAAATCTGAAATAATAAGTTTTCTTTGGGGACTATTTTGCCTCACAGCGCCCTGCATGTATCCCTCCACCATGAATGGAGTTTAAGTTCTCTAAACTATCATAAAACAGTGTCTCAGTCATCAGGCAGTGAATTCATAACCATTTCATGTAGGAACTTTCTGTGAGGGAGCTTTTAGAGGGGGACGTCTGGTTCCTATCACCACCACTGTGAACAGTTTTGACTCTGTAAGTTTATCTAGAACAGAGCGTTTCACACCAAACTGCTCTGAACCAGTCTCTTTACATCTTAACCATTTAATTATGTGGACCTTTTGAAAAATCAGTGGAGTTCCCCTTTAAACAAACCACACAGTAACGCTGCGCTGAAGAACTGGATCCTGTCGACTCTGTCGTTTGCAGACTGACGTCCTCCAGGCTCTCCTCACTCTGACTCCCTTCGTTCTGTCTGGCTGTCAGACGGTGAGAAAACGGGACGCCTCCCGCTCATTCACCAGAGCGATAAAAGGCAGTTTGGGGGAGTTCTGTGTTTTTGGCGCCGCTCCACTCCGTTTTGGCGAGCGGGCGGCTCAGTGAGCTACTCGCTCTGTTATTTGCCTTGGCTGACGCGGAGGAAATTGCTGGCGTGCTTTTGGAAGCACAGTTCACACTGTTTTCTGCTTGTGGATAAATCAGGGGAGTCCGCCGACTCTGGTGGGACTGAGCTCCCCGGGAGAGTCCGTTCGGGTCTGTTCGGGAGACCGTGTTCTGACTAAGGCTGGATATTCACTACAGGACTTTTAAAATCTTAACAGGCTTTTAAAACAGACAGCATCACAAACTTATTGTCAGAGTGTCTTGTCTTGCTGTCGTGAGGCGCTCAGACTGAACCACAAGGCAAACAGAGAGTTTAACACACTTAACGAGTTTGGGCTACGAATAAGAACTCAAACTCCCAGATCTCCTCAGATCACACGACACACAGAGCTGAGCTCACTGGACCTGTTTGGGCTTTATGAGTAATAAACTGGGGATGAATCTGTGGTGAGAAGCGCTGATATCACACTGAGAGGAATATTTCGTTACAGACTGGCAGCTGAGCTGAATCTGTAAAGACAGTGACCTGATCTGGATCAACATGATAAACATGATATTGACTCGCTTCCGATCGAGCTCCCGACCTGAAGAAACGCTTCAGATTGTGTAACCTATTGTAACGGGCCAATCGGGGTTAAAATCGAGCAAAACATTGTGTAGTGTAGCAGCTTGATTGTGCTACCTTATCGAAACATCCTGCAGTGTATATATTAGGTGTATGTTAAGTGTACATTAAGACCAGGGTTGAGAAACAATGGCCTAAATCACCTCAACAAAAAATACTACCAGCATTTAACCTCTTATGCTCCAGGATATATTTTGGTTTGTCCATCTGAATTTTCATGACCAAATCTTAAGGCAAATTATTCAGTAACTGCATGAAATAAATGTAATTTTTTATTTTATTTATAATTTTGTTTTTATAAAACTCCCTCAAATTAACAGAACATGTGTTTTATGATACACATATTGCTATATGCTTACAGTTTACTGCTGAAAGCCAAAAATCTTTGTATTATTATATAAAAATAATGTTTACAGAGCAGATCACTGAAGAGACGCCATCTGTTTATACACTGCTCAAAAAAATAAAGGGAACACTTAAACAACACAATATAACTCCAAGTAAATCAAACTTCTGTGAAATCAAACTGTCCACTTAGGAAGCAACACTGATTGACAATCAATTTCACCTGCTGTTGTGCAAATGGAATAGACAACAGGTGGAAATCATTGGCGATTAGCAAGACACACTCAATAAAGGAGTGGTTCTGCAGGTGGGGACCACAGACCACTTCTCAGTGCCTATGCTTTCTGGCTGATGTTTTGGTCACTTTTGAATGTTGGTGGTGCTTTCACACTCGTGGTAGCATGAGACGGACTCTACAACCCACACAAGTGGCTCAGGTAGTGCAGCTCATCCAGGATGGCACATCAATGCGAGCTGTGGCAAGAAGGTTTGCTGTGTCTGTCAGCGTAGTGTCCAGAGCCTGGAGGCGCTACCAGAAGACAGGCCAGTACACCAGGAGACGTGGAGGAGGCCGTAGGAGGGCAACAACCCAGCAGCAGGACCGCTACCTTCGCCTTTGTGCAAGGAGGAACAGGAGGAGCACTGCCAGAGCCCTGCAAAATGATCTCCAGCAGGCCACAAATGTGCATGTGTCTGCACAAACGGTTAGAAACCGACTCCATGAGGATGGTATGAGGGCCCGACGTCCACAGATGGGGGTTGTGCTCACAGCCCAACACCGTGCAGGACGCTTGGCATTTGCCAGAGAACACCAGGATTGGCAAATTCGCCACTGGTGCCCTGTGCTCTTCACAGATGAAAGCAGGTTCACACTGAGCACATGTGACAGACGTGACAGAGTCTGGAGACGCCGTGGAGAGCGATCTGCTGCCTGCAACATCCTTCAGCATGACCGGTTTGGCAGTGGGTCAGTAATGGTGTGGGGTGGCATTTCTTTGGAGGGCCGCACAGCCCTCCATGTGCTCGCCAGAGGTAGCCTGACTGCCATTAGGTACCGAGATGAGATCCTCAGACCCCTTGTGAGACCATATGCTGGTGCTGTTGGCCCTGGGTTCCTCCTAATGCAGGACAATGCTAGACCTCATGTGGCTGGAGTGTGTCAGCAGTTCCTGCAAGATGAAGGCATTGAAGCTATGGACTGGCCTGCCCGTTCCCCAGGCCTGAATCCGATTGAGCACATCTGGGACATCATGTCTCGCTCCATCCACCAACGTCACGTTGCACCACAGACTGTCCAGGAGTTGGCGGATGCTTTAGTCCAGGTCTGGGAGGAGATCCCTCAGGAGACCATCCGCCACCTCATCAGGAGCATGCCCAGGCGTTGTAGGGAGGTCATACAGGCACGTGGAGGCCACACACAATACTGAGCCTCATTTTGACTTGTTTTAAGGACATTACATCAAAGTTGGATCAGCCTGTAGTGTGTTTTTCCACTTTAATTTTGTGTGTGACTCCAAATCCAGGCCTCCATTGGTTAATAAATTTGATTTCCATTGATGATTTTTGTGTGATTTTGTTGTCAGCACATTCAACTTTGTACAGAACAAAGTATTCAATGAGAATATTTCATTCATTCAGATCTAGGATGTGTTATTTGAGTGTTCCCTTTATTTTTTTGAGCAGTGTAGTTTACAGCCCAGATTTGTGGAAAAATGGGTCGACTTTCAGTAGAAAACAAAATATTGTGAGTTCAGCTTCTTTTATTATAAGGGTTTAAAATTACATCACCCATCTATTTGACTGGACAGAAGACAGTTACAGCCTCATACGACCCCCACCTTTAGAATGGAGCTTATGAAATATGAGAGTTATGAAGAATATGACGAAGTGCGTTTTGGAACCACCGGTGGTTCCACGAAGCATAAGAGGCTACAGACTCAGAGAGCATTAATCTGTATTTCTTTCTAAGTAAGTTAATCTTGTACTTGCAGACAAACAGTAAACATGCACTAAGTTTACCTTTTGAATAATGTTCCACTTTTGGAATTGGAATATATGGAATTGGACTGATATATTTCACCATATTTCTCTCCTCTCAGTGTAAACAGGGTTGAGTCTGTACTGAATTAGCATTAAACACATGATAAAATGTTTAAGGTACTGCTACTGTAGCACTAAGGTTCTAGACTGTTCATCCGCATCGCGATGTCATATCTACTATATCGCAAATCACTCCCCCGTAATATGCCATGATTTTTATTTTTTCTGGCACCTGATAAAAGAACCAGAAGTGCCACATACAACAATGATTTGTATTGATCGTTTCACAGCGCTAATTATGCCTTCTTTGTAATGAAATATGCAGCTGGTCAGTGTTTCTGAAGTAAGGACAATGTCCAAAATGTACTCTGTGGGCTCGTTTGTGTGCACTGTGATGATGATTTATCGTTATTATAATAAATTAAAGCACAATATGCTTTCTGAGCGTATGGTGGACGTCGTCAGTACTTAAAGAGCACTGACCAACTACATGTTCCATCACACAGTGAGCACAATCAGGCCTGTTTAATTGGATTTAATGCAGTGCAGTTTTTTTAAAAACATAAAAGTAGGTTTTTTATTATTATTATTATTGTTGTTGTTATAGTATTTTTATATATGATTATAGGTTCCATTTGGTCTGTTCTGACTTATTAAGTCTAAATATCGAGATCCTTGAATCGTCTTGAAGTATTGTGATATAATTGCTCTGACCACGTTAATATATGATATGTGGGTTGCATGTTGTACACAAGAGCCTTTTACCTTTTTAACTCCGTGGAACCACCGGTGCTTCCAAAACGCACTTCATCATATTCTTTACTTCATAACTCTCATATTTCATAAGCTCCATTCTAAAGGTGGGGGTCATATGAGAGCTGTAACTGTCTTCTTTCCAGTCAAATAGATGGTGATGTAATTTTAAACCCTTATAATAAAAGAAGCTGAACTCACAATATTTTGTTTTCTACTGAAAGTCGACCCATTTTTCACAAATCTGGGCTGTAAACTATAAACAGATGGCGTCTCTTCAGTGATCTGCTCTGTAAACATTATTTTTATATAATAATACAAAGAGCGTCTAAGATTTTTGGCTTTCAGCAGTAAATTGTAAGCATATAGCAATATGTGTGATCATAAAACACATTTTCTGTTCATTTGAGGGGAAAAAAAAAATGTACATGTATTTCATGCAGTTACTGAATAATTTGCCTTAAAACTTGGGCGTGAAAATTCAGATGGAAAAACCTAAATATACCCTGGAGCATAAGAGGATAAAGGCGAATTTAGGAATATATGCAAATATCAAGAAAATGCCCTCAGACCGCAGAGCGTTAATAACCAGATAACTGCACTCTAATTTTAATTTTTTGTAACTGCTGTTCTGAGATTCTGGATCTCAGGACGTCGTGAGCTTTCCTGTTTTATTTTTAATGCTTTTATGTTTCAGTGTTTGTGAAAAGTTGAATTGCTTGTTTTTATTTCACATAACATAAAGGTGTTTTCGTACCTGCTCACCATCCAATTAGAAATGTTTGCTTTGGTGCTTATGTCACAGATCCTCCGTACAGGTGTTCAGTGAGAGACCGTAGCCCATCTGTTGTCAATTTGTCAACCACCCTCTGCCCCATTCGGCGGTGTTGCTGGGGTTTTGACACGTGTCTGAGCCACTGCTGGGTTGGGAGTGGTCCAGCACCCAAAAATATCCAGCAGAGAGCGGCTCTGTGGTCAGAAACCTGACAATTAATCGAGAGACAGAGGAGGAGTAATTGTACTGGTGGCAGATACACCAGCACTGTTTCTGATAAAGTGGCCAGTGAGTGTATTTCACATACAGAGACCTGCTAACCTACATACAGTACTATGGAAAATCATGTTTAACAATCTGCAACACACAGACAGTATAACTTACCGTTACTCTGCCGACTTAAACGTCTGGGGTCATATTACAGAAACATCCTGTCTTTTTGTCCTGAGTTCAGATCTGACTGGTCAAGATAAGATTCTTCACTAATCTGTATTACAGAAGGAAATCTGACCCTAATTTAGGAATCTTATCTTACAGCATCTTATCTCCAGTTAGGAAGTCGTAACCTACTCGATCAAAGTTGACAGTCAGCTGTTATGTCTGTTGCTTAGCAACCGACCATACACGCACAGCTAAAACGTAAACAGTGATAAGCTGTAAGTCGTGAATACTGTGAGAGCGCCCCCTGCTGTTTATCAGAGCGTTGCCGCTCCCCAGTTTCAGTCTCCATTTCCCAAACGCTTCAGCCGAGCGCGCTAACGTTACTCCTCCTAATAAACAGACACATGTTCAGCTCCGTCTCCTCATTATTCGCCACCATCACTGTAATATTTCATCATCAACATTAACACACGAAGGTGATCAGAGGGGCGGTGGAGATCGAGTCTGCAGCGTCTGAGATCTTTAAAACGCAGAGTTAGAAAAGAAAATCATCTCACAGTGAAAGCAGCGTTTTACAGTAGAAATCAGAAGAACCCCTTTATGAGACAAACATCTCATCATATCATCGCAGCTCTTACTGACACAGAAACTCATACCACAATAACTGTATAAATACCGTTTGTTTCGCAGAGCTAACGTAGTGTTTACTTCAACTTGAACCTGGTTCAGCCGATCACTTAATTGATAAGCATTTGAACTGGGTTTGTTACAGTAAACACAGCACAGGCTGAGGACTGAACTGCACTGACGTGTTGTGTTTTTCTCTCTGTAGATATGAACTTCGATGGTCTGATCCCAACATGTGAGGATTTCTCTCTTGTATGCAATGTCTGCACCCAAGTCGTCAAGCCTCAGGGCTTCCTGACCCATTACGGTGAGTGTACCAGCGAGTCGGTCTGCAGAGTGTACGCCTGCCACGTTCTGTAGAACGAATACATCTTAACAGGAGTTTTCGGCTGCCTGGTAATAGAGACCTACGGTATAATCGTCATCAGCTGATAGAATAGAATTCCATAAATTACTGTGGAATAGGGCTGAACGATTTGGGGAAAATGTAGAATCTATAGAATAAAATTAGAATAGAATTACATGTATGACATTTTTTTTGTTTGGAACAATAATAAAAAACAATTTGTTTTTTTTGTTTGTTTGTTTGTTTTGTTTTGTTTATTTGACCACACAATTTAAAAAACATTCACGTCTGCCAAACGGTCGAGATGGCACTTTGTGGCACATATAGTAACTCAAAATGTGCTCCACCAAATGGTTGAGCAGAACATTAAAGGGATAGAATCTATTCTAAATATCGAATTGCGATTTTCCTGGCTAATAATGGGATTACAAGTCAAACTGATTATTTTCTCTAAATTATGTTCAAGCTTGTGGGTTTGGCCAAGTAGACCAGAATATCCACATTGTCTGGCTTGAGGTTTGACCCCTGAATGCTGTGCGCCAGACCACCAGTAAAGTGGTTGTGATGTCACAACACATGGAGGTTTGGTTGGATCTGTTTGCTCTGCAGGCAGTTCACAGCCTCTGTTATCAGGTTAAATTTCCCCACTTAAAACTTGAGACATGTTGATAATGTAGGCTATAATTGAACAGTTGCAGCTCTTGGGATTTAAATTGCGCTGATAAATGGCTATTTCGACATAACATGAATCTTTCAGCTCTACTGTACACTAATGTAAACACACAAACACTACACTGTACACAGAAAACACAATGAAGCTGTAAGTGAAATATGATTAACCACTAGCATGTATAAAGCAGCAGTAGTGGTCATTCTTGTATTCATTACAGATATGAAGTGGACAAGTAAGTTACATCATCTAAATAGACAGACATATTTAACTTTGTCGTTGCTCAGTACAAGGCAACGGAATTCAGTTAGCATCTACCAGAAGTGCAAATCGTATCGAAACGAACAGTGCAAATGTGCAATAACAGGCATAAATATGATGTATCTATGAAATACACCAATCAGGCATAACATTCTGACCACCTCCTTGTTTCTACGCTCGTTGTCCATTTTATCAGCTCCACTTACTATATATTGGTATCGGCCACAGAATTTTGATATCAGTCAAGCCCTAATCGTTACTCGTAACTCTTAGTACCAGTTTTGGTCACAAAATGCTCTTCTATTAAAAGCATCTCCAACTGAAATGCTCTTTGTCCTGCTGGACGTGACCCTGACCAGTCTGAGTGCTGTTTGCTTCTTTTGAAGTTGCAGGTTGTTCATAAATATCTTTTAAAAAGGTTCCGTTCCAGTGTGTGTTCTCGCGAACAGAGAGCCAACTTCCAGAGCCCAGAGTGAGAGCAGAACACTCCTCCTCTTTATTAAAGCTGGACACTGGAGGGGAAACTCAAGCTGCCGGGTTTTTCTCCAGCCGCTGAGTGTCCGGTGCTGGCCAGCTTGGCGAGAACCCGACTGCATTCCGCTGCTGAGGGGAAATTGGACAACTTAAGTGATTCTAAAGTGGTAAACGCTGAAACGTGGAATAAACAGCGTGCATGACGGGAGTCGAGAGGTGATCCGATTAAGGCTTGTTGGAGAGTATGATTAAAACAGAGGCGCGCCGTGCCGTTCATGAGAAGCACGGCTCTTTCTCTGCACCTCTGCTGCTTTTTTAGTGTGTGGTTATCTGTGGTTATCACCACAACCTGGCTTAAGTGTGTTTCTAAGAACAGTAAACAGTTGTCAAACTGCAGCGACTGCAGCTCTGAATGTATCCTGCAGTGATGTGCTCAGGAAGGTACGTTTATTATGGTTTCAGCATTTTACACTCTCAGTAATAAAGGTACTAGACTGTCACTGGGGCAGAGCCCCTCCTGTCACTGGGGTGGAACCCTCAAGGGTACATCTCAGTACCTTTAGTCAGGGAACATAACTGAACCATAATCCACTGAAATGATATGTTCTAAGCTGTACTGACTCCACACACCCCGTCTCGTCTCCAGGCTTTTATTTTACTGTTCTGTTTAAAACATTCAGTTATGAAAAGGTACAAATACGAACTTTTCACCTGGAAACACTTATTTAAGGTTCACAATCAGACCTTAAAACCACTGTTGGAGCTTTGAGGGAACATTTACACTGTTTGTACCTTGATGAATGAAAAATGTACCTGAACAGAACCTTTATTTTTTTCTGTAAAGCTGCTTTGAGACAACACTAGTTGTAAAAAGTGCTATAAAAATAAATGTTGTTGTTGTTTTGTTGCTTATTACTAACAGTGCACTTCATGCATGCATATTTGAGACTGCAAAGCACATGCATTTGTGGGATCCTGCTGGTTTCCTCTCTTTCAGTGACTTAAGTGCTAAAAGCTCCTCCTAAACTTGAGTGAGCTCCATCTGGGGTCTGACTGATATGAGGAATTTGAAGGTAAAATTTTAAGATATCACCCATATTAAGAGCTTTAATTATAGGGCTGCAAAAATATTGTTATATTTTGATATTTAATAAATTTGGATCAGGTTTTCGTTTTTAACGCAGTGTTGAGACAGGATTGGTCTGTGTTGTGGATAGTGATGAAACGGTTCCAGATAGTTAGTTATACCGTTGCAGATATTAATTATCATGAGAATCATGGTCAGTTATATGGCGGAAGCCAGTGACGGCACTCCGGAGGTTTTTCATCCTTCTAAGGTGACGGAGTCTGAAGTGTAGTCATATTTTAGTTTCTATAAGAGTTATTTAGTTTATCCTTTTTGATCTGTTATTTATCAGGTTACTATATTATAATGGTTTATTGCTTATTTTACTATCAAATTTACTATTATCATTATCATTACTCTTTTTAGGATTTGATCTGTTTTTTTATACAACCGTTAGTTCAGGACACGCGAGCTGATTGGTTGAGAAGTGTTCTAACGATGCTGTTATTTTGCCATAACATCACGAGTTTTTCACGAACACTGTATCACTCCGCTGAGACGCTGTTGCTAAGCAACGGCTTTGACAGCTGTAGGAGACGCTCAAGACATTTGAACGTTTTTACTTCTTACTTTGCCACAAACAGAAAACGGACACTTTTAAGATCACATTTGACCGACAGCCGATTTGGTCAGACTCTGAAGATGAGACGACACTAAATTCCCAAACTGTCATCACCACTGAGCAGCTTTTCAGTCGGCAGCTGTGACAGAAGAACAGCTGAACAACCTGGAATCAGCCAGAAATGAACCCAACACCATTCGCCAAACTAAATGGGCTGTAAGATGCTTTACAGACTGGCTGGAACAAAACAACATTAATACTGATCTGGCAAAAACTGACAAAACTGAGCTAAACCTGATATTGCGGCAGTTTTATGGCTCAGTCTGATTTGGTCAGATCAGACTACACGTTTGGCGAATGGTATTGGGTTAATTTCCGGCTGATTCCAGGTTGTTTAGCTGTTCTTCTGTCACAGCTGCCGACTGAAAAGCTGCTCAGTGGTGATGACAGTTTGTTGATGGTTTGTGTTTAAAAACTCCAGCAGCACTGCTGTGTCTGATCCACTCAGACCAGCACAACACACACCACCACCACATCAGTGTTACTGTAGTGCTGAGAATGATCCACCTCCCAAATAGTACCTGCTCTGTGAGGGTCCATGGGGGTCCTGACCACTGAAGAACAGGGTAAAAGGGGGCTAACAAAGTATCAGAGAAACAGATGGACTACAGTCTGTAACTGTAGAACTACAAAGTGCACCTATATAGTAAGTGGAGCTGATAAAATGGACAATGAGTGTGGAAACAAGGAGGTGGTCATAATGTTATGCCTGATTGGTGTATATATGCTCTGTTGTTTGAGTATAGGAGCTGTGCGCTGGCGTGGCTGATATGACGAGCTGTTCTCTGCTGGTTCTCGTGCGCTCCGAGGGCTGCGTGAGGGACGGAGCCCAGTCGGACTGTGAGAAAGCTCGGCTCTGGCAGCGGAACGTGTTTACTTTCGTTTTTGCTCAGGCCCGTTCCACTCTGCTCTGCTTGGCTTGTGTCCGCCTCTGGTCTTGTGCCCTTCCCACGTGTGCTGGCAGAGTGGGAGCTTCAGCGCGGTGGGAGGTGGCACACACACAAACGCCTGAGCACACACAAACGCTCCTGGCAGAGCGCCCCTGGGCACGCCCCCTGCTGGTTAGAGCTGTAGTCAGTTTTGTTTTGGGGCCGAGGGTCCCTCTGCTGTCCTTAGAAACACTCCGGTCAAAACTGATTCCAAGAAGCTAGAAATCCCCCCTGGTATTCGGGGGTCCCATGTTGGCTGCTAACTCTCTCTCCATAGCGGCGCTGATGCTTCAGTGTCAGTAAATGTCTGTTTATCAGCTGTTCTTCTGTAGAGTCTCTGTTCTAGTGCGGTTCTGCGCTCTTCCTCACAGTAACTGAGATCTTCCTCGTCTCCTCTTCTGTCTTCAGTGTGAGAAATGAGGAACAGTCACTCTTCACTCCAAACTCTTGGGAAACTGGGCGAGTTTTCAGATTTACAGATCTGCTGCAGCTCATTGTAAAGTTTTTCAGAGGAATCCAGGCAGAGTTACAGTTTCTAGACTATGAAGGACCAACTGGGTGAACCAGTCTGCTACAGCGCCACCCTGAGGCAGAGCAGTGCTGCAGCTCTAGTTAGTTAAGAACACCAGAGACAGAAGCTGATTGGGGGGAAGCAGATAAACAATGAGCTTCACAGAATCTGGATCTGATCTTTTTCTCTAACACACACACAGAACCAAAACCCCCCCGTATTTCACACCTTGTCAGCAGAAATGATTTAATGTCTGGTAGTTTTAGTTGAGCGGTGCTTTATTGGCTGACGTCTTTCTCACTTTTCTCAAACTTATCACTTTTTTCATTTTTTATTTATACATTTTTTATTTGGATTTCATTTGTACA